CAAAGACTCTACATCTTCACCCCAATAGACTATACATATACCTACTTGAGGTCTACCAAAGGGATCCCCTTGTGATAAGGTCAATCAATGTAAAGTTAGATGAATGGGTAATCTCCATCAACATAAACACACCCAAAGGAGTTCAAATATAGAGCCACAAACCAATGCAATTAATGGGCATCATTTTCAGTGTAAAACACTGATATGATACTTCTCGACTGATGGAGTTGAACGCTGTTATCTTTACGATAGCTATAATTTGACATACCAGTTTATCTTTATACAAATAGATGATGACTGAAGTTGACATGAAAATCAGTGACGACAGGATATATCGGACTATGAACAAAAAGGTCACAGAACACTTGTCCAGTACACTTTATGAAATGATAGACAACAACAAGCATAAGCCTATACTTAACAAGATAAAACTACAGATTAACAAATCACCATACAATCTGAAGTCGAAACAAGGTAATGACCTTATGATTCAATTTAGCACCAAAAAGTCATGTCACTTTATGCTATAGCCGATTCGTTCAATTGTGGATTTTACTCATTCCTAAACATATAACCTTTCAAAATATCTCACAAAAGTTATTAAACCATTACAAGACAACTTCGTAAGTGTCATTAAAAAATTCATTAAACTTTAAACATAAATTATTACAAAAAACCATTGAAAATGATGAAATAATGGTTAGCTTTGACGTTGTTCCTCTGTATACAAATATTCCGATTGATGAAAGCATATAACTTGTTAGATCTTCATTAGAGTTGGACACTTCTTTATCGCTTAGATGTAATATTTCCATCAGTGATGCACTCAGATTTTGTTTAACTTCAACTTTTTCAATTATTCGATGAAACCTTTATATTGTCAAACCAGTAGGGTACACTTGTTTCACCTATTGTAGCTAATCTACATATGCACAAAGAAGAATCAGACGTATTTCGCCAACTTGATTTAAAACCAAGAATGGTGTCCATCAAGGGTGCCCACTCTCTCCATTCTTATTCAATTTTATCTTATATATTCTTATTGAGGTCTCCCTCTCGTTACCTGACTACACAGACGTTGACCCAATCACAAGAGAATCTTCGTTAGACCTAGAATATGCAGGTGACGTAGTCCTGTTAGGTGGAGGGGTTGACAACATGCAGTCTACTGAACACTTTGAGTGGCAATTTGAGGATGTTCAAGATGCGGTTCTCACTAGCAAAATGCAAATTTTTGCTCCAGGGTTGGTCTTCAACAGTGTCACGGCTAACAATAGGGAGTGTAGTGATTGAGTGTATTAACCACTTCACTTACCTGGGAAGTAGGAGCAACCCTGGTGGGTGGGTCACAGTGGCCGATGAAATCACTGCACGGATACAAAAGGCTCGGCTGTCTGATGCCAATTTGCGCCACCTATGGCGCCGACGTGACATCTCTTTGTCTATTAAAGGTCCGCTCTCTTCTACTCTATGACTGTGAAACATCGTCATTGAAGGAGGAAGATATAAGAAGGCTTGACCACCATTACCTTCGTAGTATAGGCCGCATTCCATGGTGTCATCGAACCACGTGAGTGATGCAAAAGTCAGATATAGAGTTTCAGGGAGAAGAGAAGAGGTAAATCAGTTGACGAGGTCATCAACCTTCATCGACTGAGATGGCTGGTTGCGACACGTACTACGTATGCCCAGTCACCGATTGCCTCGTCACACAATGTTGGCCGAAGTAGGTCCAAGCTGGAAAAAGGCTTAGTGTGGTCAGACTAAAACATGTCACCAATGCACGAAGTCTCTAACTGTTGGTCTGAGCGATGCAGTCTAGGTGGTTGGGGTCGGCAGGACAAGAGAAACCAACAGTGGCTGGAGACTGACTCTAGGTGATCGGATGGCTGAGAACCGATGTCAGTAGCACAGGTGTATACACACACACACACACACACACATTATCCTCATCTTAACAACGCTATACTGAATCTCACCACTTCCTTCCTCATTCTTCGTTTCTCTCTTTTCGTACTTTATATTTCTTTTGGTTGAGTTTTCTCATCTTCATGTTGCACCCCACTGCCTTTTTGACTTGATGTAGTGATATGAGGTGTGGCAACTCGGACCGTTATGCAGTGGTGCCCGGTCCTATGTTGATATTGATGATGATGATATGGTAGAGGTATGTTGACGACACTTTCGTCATAACCAAAAGACAAGATCTAGAAAACCTTTTCGAATATCTTAACAGACGTTTCAATTCCATAAAATTCATATATGAACTAGAAATAGAATTCAAGACGCCAGCTTTTCTAGACTGCAAAGCCATGAGAAACAATGATAGGACACTTGACAATGATGTTTATCGAAAAGATACACCTAACAAGTACCTTGATTTCAATTCAGCTCACCCGTTGGAAACTAAGTTACACATTACAAAAAATCTGTTGACGAGATCACAAAACATACCGAATAGAGTCGAGTCTCAGCAAGCAGATAGGCAACCTGTTCAGGAAGTCTTAAAACAAAACAACTATCCAGAAAAGCCATTAAAAAGATACGGAAAAATCGAGACATAAAGATTTGATAAGTACTATGGTACTTCCATATCGAACATGAGACGTATCCTTGACATTTACAACATCAGAGTATTCTTCACGGTGACGAACACGTTACACTCACACTTGTGTAAATTCGGAACAACAGAACTGTGTATATAAGGTGGACTGTAGTGAATGCGATGCCATATACATTGGAGAGACATCATGTCAAGTACTAAAACTTCTAACTGAAGATGGTCAAAGTTACAAGAAACCACCAAAAAAATTATGTTCTGGAGAAACTTGAGAAAAGCCTTACTATTGAGGCTCATAGAGTAAATTCAGGTCATAAAATATCATTCGAAAAGATAAAAGTCCTGTAAAAGAGCTTTCTTTCTCACAAAGAGCGGGCCATTCCAGAAGCTTTGCATATCTGTTCGTGCCCTCCTTCAGTCAACAGAAAAGATGGCTTAGACATCCCACAAACATCAATGACTCGTATAGACATTTGCAAGTAAGATAATGAAGAGAAAGTGGAAGACAATTTTCATTTCTCACTGTATTCCATATGATTCATTTCAAACTTATGCATATTTGAATAGTTTCCAGTGTTATTTGGCTTAATCGTCGTTAATCACGTTAAGAGAGGGAAGAATACTGATTTCAGTTTAACAGTTTATCGAATCCTATTACGTTCTTTTCCAAGTTATATACATTCTATGAAACATTCTATATATTACACAATCCAGTTTGTTATCATTCATACTTGAATTGTTATCATAAGTACCTTAATCGTTATCATTATCGACTATTGTTTGATGTTCAAACATTCATCTTCCTAAAGTAGTAATCTATTCTTACTCACCCCTGATGATTAACAACTCCCATTGAACTTTTCATAGTCGAACTACATTTCCCTACCCTATTTTTGTTCTACTTTACTTGTGCCAGGTGATGATTGAAGGTGAGATGAAAATCTAGACCGTGGACGAATTCGAACCAGCGACCATCGGGTTACCAGTCCATATCACTTGCACAATTGGAAAACGTCTGTCTATCTGACCGATTTGCTTATTCACTCACCTGTAGTATTGATCTTTGTTCCATATCACGATGTAATTGGATGATCGTAAACGGGTCACCACCTACCTACCTTCTGTACGAAAACTTGAATATTAACCTGAAAACTTAATGTCTCCAATTCAGGATCATCCAAACAAGATCAAAACATTGAAAAATAATGCATGAAATATTTGTTTATTGTTATAATATACTCCGCCGGGACTGGACAAGTGAAAATATATCTTATATCATGACAGGAACATTATCAGTTCACTCTCGTATTTTGAGGGAGTTGTGGAGATTTGGTAATATTTCAAGTTGTTATTCATCGTAGCTTCGAAAGGTATTCCTGAAGTCCCAATGAGAAGTCATGACTGGTGGAGTCAAAGCCTGATGATCATAAGGATAGTTACTCAACAATAACATTGGGTAGCGGTTGAGCTATATCGTCACCTAACAGAAGTTGGAAATATGAACGAATGGATTCCACCGACCCAGTGGCTCAATGGTAACGAGCTGGCCGTGGAACCTAAACGTCATCATCATCATCATTATCAACATAGGATCAGCCACCACTGCGTAACGGTCCGAGTTGCCACACCTCATATCAGCACATCAAATAAAAAGGTAGTGAGGTGAAGGATGAAGATAAGTGAATGCAGTCAAAAGAAATATAAAGTACGAGAAGAAAGGAAAGAGGAGTGACAAAATGGTGAGATTCAGTATAGCGTTGTTAAGATGAGGATAATGTGTGTATACATCTGCGCCACTGACTTCGGTTCTCAGCCATATCACCTAGGGTCTCCAACCACTGGTTCCTCTTATCCCGTGGACCCCAACCACCTAGTGTGCATCGTCCTACATGGCTTAAACCAACAGTCAGAGACTTCATACATTGGTGTCATGTTTTAGTCTGGCCACCTCGGGCCTTTTTCCAGCCTGAACCCACCTGAGCCAAGATTGTGTGACGAGGCAATCGGTGACCAGGCGTAGGCATACGTAGTACGTGTGCCAACCATCTCAGTCGATGAAGGTTCACAACCTCGTCAACTGACTTACCTCTTCTCCCCAAAACTCTACATCATCAGCTTATATAAAGTCAATTACCCCTGACTAATTAACAACACTGACCAATAATTTACACACACACACACACACACACACACACACACACACACATTCAATTATCAATAAATGCATCGAATGTACAATAATTTTTAATTCGACCTCAAGTAATGAAAAAGTAATAACAATAGGAACAAATGTACATTTATCAAAATAATAATAATAATAATAATAATAATCTGATTCCTTAGAATCTACAATACAATGAAATATGTGCAATGTGTTGATAAGAGATGAATAATAATAATAATAATAATTATTACTATTATAGTAGACAAAAATGTTGAATTATGTAACCGGTGGATTTTGAACACGAAGATTTTTATTTGTACGGAAAAGAAATATAGTAAGAGTTTTAGTAGGAGGTTTTCTAACCGGTGTCTTTATTTCTTCACCTTCCTCTTCGTCGACGTCATCGTCGTCTTCTTCTTCTTTCACTCTGCCTTCCTCTACTATTTCTTCTTCTTCATCATCGTCTGAAACATGACATAATAATAGAAACACACATACATACACAAACACACCGGTTAGTCAGTATTACTTGAATGGATAAAACTAGCAAATATCTCAGTATAAAACAGATAAAATGAATAGATAGTGGGGATTTAGATTCGATTATTAGACATAGTGAACACTGAGATAGGGAGAGGGAAGGTGTCATGAAGCAGAAACAATACACATTATAAACAGTATGTATGCCAGAATACTCATATATGATTACTAGGAAAACAGAGATTATAGTGAGTTCGACACCGACAGCCAACTCGTCGTTTCCCATCTGGGTTCCACTCAAGGGAATGGCCTGACGCGTGATGTCCCCAATCGGCCTTCTTAGTGTATGCCAAATCTAATCCATCTCCACTTTTTTCTGCTGTATATTTGTTGGGTAATAGGTTCTTGGTTGTTTCGTTGCCAGCCACACTGAGTTCCTTGTTGCGGATTCTTATTATTCTGACCATCTGATCTTCAGTATCTAACAAGCGTAGATGGCAGCTGTTGAAGAATGTCTGTAGTTTGTTGGGAATCCCTTTCGTAATGCGCCAAGTCTCTGAACCATCACATAGAAGCACTGACTTGACTGACATTGGTGTTGAAAATCTGGATGTTGTTCACGCTTTATGCTGACTGCAGAAGATCTTCACACTGGTTTCAGATTAATGAACACCTGTCTTGCTGTCTTTCCGATCCTGGTTTTGACGTCCTCGTCTGTGCCACCACCGCCGCCTGTAGTTAGAACGATCCTGCCTTGCCTAGGTAGATGAAAGAGACTACCTCTCGTTGTTCACCACCTCTATCTTCTCTAGATTCACTTGAAGTCCCGTTTTTGCTGCTCTTCCTCTTCCGTCAACTTGTTAGTTTTCGCTTGTAGATCTTCGAGTTTGTGAGACATTAGACACAAGTCGTCATCGGTGAAATCCAAATCTTCTAGGATCTTTTCTCCGATCCAGAGTATCCTCCTCTTGTCGCTCCTCACAGTTTGTTGCAATATCCAGCCCACCATAATCAGGAAGATCATAAGCAATAGTAGACAGCTTTGTTTTTACTCTTCTCTTCACTTCAAAGGTACCATTGTGCTTCTCATTGTGGATAACCGATAGGTAGCTAAAATGCAGCTGGTGATTTATTAGTAAATGAAAATATTTGCTATATACATGATCACAAATGATTATTTATCACTAACTGAGAATTTTTCGATTTACAAAGGTGCGCAAAAAGTACCACGAAAACAGGCATATATCATTTATGATAAATACTTAATTCATGGAACTATAAGACCCATCAGACTTCATTTCACATAAAGCAGTAGTGAACAAAAAAACACACCAATTATTCAGAGATTTGTTGATGGTGATGATGCAAGTCAATAATCACAGGCATTTAAGTTACTTATTCCACTAGAATCATTCAAAGAAAACAAGTAAACAGTACACTGAACTCACCAGGATGAGCTACGCGTACATGACTTCGTAATTTAGATTTCGATATGAATGTTCGATCACATTCAGCACATTTAATTAATTTACCTACAAAAAAAAATAAACATAAAGTAATTGCCAAAAGAAAAAAAAGTTTAATGTAAGGAAAGGTGGAATAGCTATCAGATATTACAAAAAAATACCATTTAAGTACAACATTTAGTTGAAAAAAGTGTCAACAAAAAATGTCTGACATAAAATTTGTCGCTTTGAAGACTGGATAAACACAATACGCCTTGATCAGTGATGAATTGATCGAATAGCAAAATCCTCGACTGTTAAAAGATAAGGGATATTCAGAAGGCTAATCAATATAGTAGAATCTAGAGGCGATTACTAATGACTTACTTCCGTACATTTCTGCTTTTAATTTTATACTACTTATTAACGATGAGTAGTAAAACAATGCACAATTCATTTTATTGACATGTATTACGTTTCATGATAACAAATTCACATTTATCTGATGAACACTTAGACTGGCTTATCTTACCACTTGGTGACTGCATTTTACTTTCCGTAGTTTGCTTTAAGCGTGTAGAACCTTTACGTTAATCTCTGTTTCTCTTCATCTCATTTAGTCATCACAGTTAGGGTTCAGCATTTCGCTGTTTATCTCGTTCACTGATGCACTACTACAACTTGAACAGTAAGTACCTTTAACAATATGATAAATATTTAGATATCTCAAGTTTTGAAGCTCATTATCTTATTATTTATTGCATTTACCGCTTAACATAACTTCAGTACGCTTTTACTTCAAAGTTTAAGGCGTCGATAGAGGAGTAATTTGACAGGCAGCTGCTTCAGTAATACGGAGGACTACAAACCTTCATCGACTTCATTCAACAACTATATCAAGACGCCATATACCAATTCATCCACAGTGGAAAGCCAAGTGACGCCTTTGGAGTAAAGACAGGAGTAGACCGAGGCCGCCTACTATCACCCATGATCTTTCTGATTGTGATGGACTGGATCATACAGCAAACAGTGAGGAGCGAGATGGGTATACGCCGGTTGGACCAATGAAAAGAACCCACAAGAAGATTTGGATTTCGCCGATGATGATTTATGTCTAATGCCTTGTCGCACAAACTCGAAGATCTACAAGCGAAAACTAACAAGTTGATGGAAGAGGGAGGGCAGCGAAGACGGGACTTCAAGTGGATGTAGAGAAAACATCAATGACAAGCACCAATCACCATTAACAGCAGAAACCTAAAGAGAGTAGTCTCTTTCACCTACCTAGGCAAAGCAAGATCGTTTCAACTACAGGTGGCAGCGGTACAGACAAGGATGTCAAACAGCCAGGATCGGAAATACAGCAAGACAGGCTTTCATTAATCTGAAATCAGTGAGGAGATCGACTGCACTCAGAACAAAGAACAAGATCCGGATTTTTAACACCAATGTCGTCAGTGCTGTCATATGGTTCAGAAACTTGGCGTGTAACGAAAAGCGTTTCCAACAAACTACAGACATTCATCACATGACCAGAATAATGAAAATAAGCAACAAGGAACTGTGACAACGAACCAACCAAGAACCTATCGCCCAACAAATATACAGAAGAAAATGGAGATGGATTCGGCATACACTGAGAAGGCCGACTGGAGATATCACGCGCCAGGCTACGCCCTCGAGTGGAATCCAAAGGGGAAACGACGAGTTGGGCATCCAGGTCGAGGGTGACATAGAGGAGATGATGTGAGGAAGAAATGAGAACTTCTGGGCAGTCGTGGCGTCAGGTTGAAGAGACTGTAGAGGACAGAGTACAGGCATGCTACTGAAGCCCTATGTTCCACTAAAAACCCAAGTGGAAAAATAATAATAACACAAATTGATGTAAAGTGAGCACCATTTAATAAACAAACTATCGATACCTAGTTTAGTTACAAAATAATTCAATGACTAGAATGTATGCTGATCTATCAATAGCTGTCCGACTGAACCATCCAATGATAGGTTGAAACACTAGTAACTATTAAATGACAGTCGCTTCCTTTCGGCAAAGTCTACAACACTATTATAGTTGAAAATTATAAACTGGAGAAATCAATATGTATACTGAAATAGTATAGATACAACCAATATACGACAGGAAGATGTCATTGAGATGTTAAACACATTGGATTCCTAAATTAATGCATAATGCTAACACAATTACTGATGAGATTCACTGTGTTTTCGTGAGCTGTAGATATTTGATCTAAATTTCTGACAATAAGTTTGTTGCTCGTTCACAACGCTTTGACTTGAACGGTTAAATGAGATTATTAGCGCTTACATATCAGATGTGCAAAACAGTTCAGAAAAAGAGTGTGTACCACTCTACTTGGATACATTAAGACTTGCAATTAGTCATCATCATCATCATCATCATCAATATCAACATAGGACCAGCCACCACCACTGCATAACGGTCCGAGTTGCCACACCTCATATCACTACATCAAGTAAAAAAGGCAGTGGGGTGCAACATGAAGATGAGAAAACTCAACCAAAAGAAATATTAAGTACGAAAAGAGAGAAACGAAGAATGAGGAAGGAGGTGGTGAGATTCAGTATAGCGTTGTTAAGATGAGGATATTGTGTGTATACACCTGTGCTACTGACATCGGTTCTCAGCCATCCGATCACCTAGAGTCAGTCTCCAGCCACTGTTGGTTTCTCTTGTCCCGCCGACCCCAACCACCTAGACTGCATCTCTCCACATGGCTCAAACCAACAGTTAGAGACTTCGTGCATTGGTGACATGTTTTAGTCTGGTCACACTAAGCCTTTTTCCAGCTTGGACCTACTTCGGCCAACATTGTGTGACGAGGCAATCGGTGACTGGGCATACGTAGTACGTGTCGCAACCAGCCATCTCAGTCGATGAAGGTTCATGACCTCGCCAACTGATTTACCTCTTCTCTTCTCCCTGAAACTCTATATCTGACTTTTGCATTACTCACGTGGTTCGATGACACCACGGAATACGGCCTATACTACGAAGGCAATGGTGGTCAAACACCTAAAGCCAGCCTTCTCATGTCTCCCACCTTCAATGGCGACGTTTCACAGCCATAGAGTAGAAGAGAGCGGACTGCTGTGCAGTACACGTGACCTTTAATCGACAAAGAGATATCATGTCGGCGCCATAGGTGGGGTAAACTGGCGTCAGACAGCCGAGCCTTTTATATCCGTGCAGTGATTTCATCGGCCACTGTGACCCACCAGGGCTGATCCTACAATTAACCAACGGTCATGCAAATTGATTAAGATAGTGCAATTCTACTGATTAGACTGAATAAACGTAGATGATAATCAACAAAGGATGAGTTTTTCTAGTGATTTTAAAATAAAATAATATGATGATAGAGTTGTTTCACAGGAGAGGTGGGAAGGGTGGTCATGAAGAATACGATACTGAAAATATTCAGAATTCACGTCATCATATCGTTTCATCAGAAGTAATAGTAGACGTAAATTACTTTCCGACTACAGAGTAAAAAGAAATTTTACTGATGCAGAAGTTTTATCTCAGTGCACAACTCAATTATCATGTACAGGTTTGAATATGAACATTAAGGTATAACGGTTGTATTCATAACGCAAGCTACATGGATTGATGTAGATGAGTTGAATGTAATAATAGGATGTTTATATTATTGACCGACAGTCTTGAGTGCAAAAATTTTCATGAAAGAATAACTGGCAATATCAAATCATCTGAGGGGAACACAAGCTGATGTTAAGCGCTTATTAAATAAGTAGAATTTTCACTTTTTATTTTATACTACTTATTAGTAGTAAGTAGTATGAGTTAGGCCAATTAAATTCACTTTGGTGGCGTCCCACGTTTTTTTTACCATTGTATCCATTGTGTCCAACCAGTTTTCACCCGAATTTATCACGATCCTTCTTTTTCCTAGTTTATCCTGTTCAACGGCTCATCAGGGAGCTTTTTAATTCGTCATATATTCTATTTTACAGTTTATTATTTGTACAGAATCTTTGGAATTCCAATTTGGATTGAAGCAATTTTTTTTGGTCACCTATTCGCTGTTCCTTTATTTTCAAAAGTACTCAAGGTTGACGTTTCAATTGTTATTTATTGTGGCTTTCTATAATAGTCCTACAATATCACAAGATTACCATTTTATTCGAGATTTTTCGATGTTTCCTAGTGATCTTCGTAATCAGCGAAAATACGTTTCTATCTATACGTCCATTACATTTAATTTCTAAGGAAAAAGGTAATGGAGGATGGAAAGAGGAAAACCACCAACGATGGTATTGCTTACAAAAATGAAATATATATTGAACTTGCCTGCATGAACACGTCTATAGTGCATAGCAACATCAGATCTCGAAGCAAAAGATTTGTTACAGTTGGCGCATTTAAATATTAGTCGACCTGAAACAAACAATTCATGGTGAAATTACATCTAAAAAGAGACAAGTAAAAATAAAGTCAATTTATTTCCTTTTATATTGTCTAATATATTGAATCCTACATAAACAGACGTAAAAAATCAACGTAGAACCCCATACACTCACGGAGAGATATTGACAGGTCACTTCATACTGAAGTTAGTGCTGATGATGATGTCACTGTCTAGAAAGACGATGAATGCTCCACGATCAAACAACCCAGCCCTTCAGAGAACACAATACAACCAAGACAATCCACCTGTACTACAAATATTCTCCACCATTTCAAAATCAATCCTAGTTTAGTTTACACGTCAAGGTAGGCATGTCAAACAGGTGTCTTAGCCACCTCATCGACTGACTTGCCTTACTTGCGCTTAGTACCCTTCACTGAACTTCTACAATGAACACACGGTGATTACACTATAAGCGAGCAATGCTATGAAGATACATGTAACCTCTTCATACCTTCCACTTTCAACGGCCATGTTTTAATCGTAAAACAGGACAGAATTGGCTGCAGTGCAGCATCCTAATCCTTTAACAGGGAATCAGATAACTCGTCAGTCGGCTCCAGAGACGAATCTAAGTTGGCAAATACCTTTTGTATTCGAGACGAAACATCATCAGCAACTTCTTAAGTGGTCAACGCATCCCACCACCTCACTCGCTATTATTAAATTGGGAGTAACTGCATACCAGTCCTCAAGCATCATTTTACGTTTCATAGATGCGAAACGTGTGCCAGGCACAGACAGATTTCTGTTCAAGGTGTGTTCACAAGACCCTGCATTTTGTCAGTATTTTCAGCTAACAGGAGGACGTCGACTGGGTACTCGAAGTCAAAGATATCCCCTCTATCTAGAGAGTAGATCAATTCCTAAGAATTCAGAGGTACCTAAGTTTATTTCCATTAATGCATCTATCACGAAACTGAAAAAAGGTGACACTGAGCATCCTAAGCGGACACCACTGGTTGCTGTCAATTTATATGACTACTCTCCAAAAGTCTACATGGCTGGGTAATTTCGAGTAGAGTTCGACACTATGAAGAAACTTCTCAGTCGACAATCGAATGCTGCCTTCAGGTCAAGAAACGTGGCAAGTGTCGCCTACCACTAGACGGGTCTTTGTTCTGAAACCTATTGAGGGTTGAAGATTTGATCAGTATATCACTGATCAGGTCTCAAACCTCCCAGGTCTTTCCGGTTATACTTTTACTCGGTTGCCACTTATCATTGTACAACCATGGACCCCAAGATCTTAGATACCATGTTAGTCACGTTATTAGTTTCTCTGTAACGATCATACAAAGATTTCTTACCAACTAGGATGATCAAAGAAGTAAACCAGTCTGATGGGGACCACCTATGATTCTCATACACTACACTACATACTACCTCCGTTACTTTAGTCAACAATTTACTACCTCTGTCCTTAAAAACTTCGGGTGGCAAACCACAAGGTCCTGCTGCTTTCCACAGTTTGATTTTACCGACCACCTTCTTGTCAGGTACTCTTGATAAACACAAATAGTTGCCGGTGTTACCCAGCGCTGACGCCTTCATCAACTCTCTCGCCTTCACTACCCACCACTGTTCGCGATCGTTACTAAGACTTTTGGTCAATTCAGGTTTGGGCTGCTTTTACTCTTCATTGTGATCAGAACCAGCTGAAATTAGTCTTTTCACATCACTCAGTTCGAATGAGGCTGCTAACCTTCGGATACACGTTACCAACTGTCTTCATCGCTGTTCCTACTGAAGACTTAATATCACCCAGGGTTTCCTGGGGATAAAGCATTGCTATTACGTTCAGATAAGTGCTTAGATATCTCTTTCCTACATACGTACTTCACATCATCTTTCAGTCAAGCGTACATATACTTCACTGCCGTTTATTTCCTGCAATCAGTAAGACGGAGACATACAAGTGCCTGTAATAACACGTTTTTTGATTTCAGACAGGTACTCTCGAAGGAGCGGCAATCCTCTCTAACGATGGCTTGCAGAAACATTACCTATTTCTGTTCATCGTTAACTTTGATGTCACCGGACTCCAGTTGTCTCCTCCTTATGTGTGAGGTTAGTCCTGACCAGAAACAAGTGACTATCACGACAAAATTGCTACATACAATCACCGTTGTCGGTTCTTTGGTATGGGATTGCTCAGATGACTCCAATATGCCTTTCCGATTGGTTCAGCTTCTCTACGTGAGCGTTGAAGTTGTCTGTTATCATGACTACATCTAAACGTTCTGCTTTCTGTAGAAAAATTGGCAGCTTTTGGTAGAATTCATGCTTGTGTTATCCGAACTGCAGCCGGTGAACGCGTACGTGGAGATAATGAATAGACATCGGCAAGTCTCAGTTTCAACAGACCCATCCAGTTAGACAGCACATAGACGGTTTTTGATTGATATCCAGCCTTTGAGGTTAGATTAGTTGAGAAAGAGATGTGTGAGAAAAAATGGTGAAACATTGTCTATCCTCGTCCAGCTGGATTTAGTCAACTACGATAAAAACTGATGGGAAAATCAAGCGAATGTTATGTGTATAACATCACTAAGTGAATACCACGGTGGTGGCATTGAAGACTTCTCTGAAAGTCATAATTCACATAGGAAGTATTTAACTGTCTGTTTCGTTTTTAAGGTTAGTAGTAGATGACTGAAAACAAAAAAACGCAGTTTTGCCAACCAGCAATTCCATTATATGAGATAATTTTATTTATATCTGAATAAGCCAATTAATTTCATTACGGGAACAATAGTAAAAACAAGTGTACAGTCAAATTTTGACGGTTAAATTAATAATTTACCAACGACAGATAGAAATAACGCATCATATATTCTACACGTTCTTTACAGCTGTTGGTATTTTTAAGGTTCTGCATCAACTTTAATTCCATACAGATAGACAGACAGAAAGAAAGAACCAACCTAGAACCTCTCATACACAAGTATGCATCGGTTCAAGTTGCGACACTTCACAGTAGTGTACACAAAGAATAAGATGATACAAAAAGGCTGATATTACAGTAGACAAAGTTTTGTGAGAGAATAAACAATCTGAAGAAAAAGGTTAATGCAAATTACCAACCTTTAGAAGACATCAAGAGACGTCACCAAGAGTTCCCCCCCCCCCAGATTACTATCGTTTCGGGAACCCCATCCAGGCAGTCTACATCTCTTTAGACCAATAGTCACGGACTTCATGGACTGGTCTAGCCACTCTGACCTGAACCCACTTCCAACATAGTCCAGCTTCCGCTAGCATGGTACGTTGCGATAAGCGATGGAACGGTATGCACAACACATGTTCAAGTCATCTATTCTGATGTGTAAAAATCTAACAGTTTACACTAATAGGCACTATGTTCTTCTACACTGGTTACAAGAACTTAGGTGGACCCCGGTGTTAACGAAATACAGGACTGGGAATCTCACGATACAAATCAGATACCTAATACAAGCATCATTAATTCGAGGTGAGAAATAGACGATTGAAAAAAAATATTCACGAATAACTACACTACCATTTGATTGACTTTTTTAAAAGAGGTAGAACCAAGTCTGTTCGCTTCAAAGTAATAGACATAATCAGTATGATCACAATGATTCTAGCTAAACACTGTTATGTTTCAGCTGATGTACATAGGAATGGTGACCACTTCAGTCAGTATATCTCAATACATAGGTAGCCTATTAAACCTTGATCTTGATTACCTATTTAAGTGAATGACTCAAGGAATTCTATAGGTCATTATGAGGATGGATAATCTGCTTTAATAGACTATTCGATTCAATGCAACTTAGATTATACAAAAGAAGGAGTTCGCCTGTTAAATACATGAGATGACTCTATGCGAAGAGTTTTACTCGGTAACCATAATACTTTAAGCGATTAGAATAAAAGATAGGAAGTTCTAATTTTAGTGGCAGACACCAATGTCAATTCAGTGCTGCTATATGATTGTTCAGAAACTTGGCGTGTCACGAAAAGCATTTCCAACAAACTACAGACATTCATCATATCAGCAGCAGTCGCCTACGCTCACTCAATACTGAAGACCAGATGACGAGAATAATAAGAATAAGCAACAAGGAACTGTGGCAACGAACCAACCAAGAACCTATCGCCCACCAAATATACAACAGAAGAAAGTGGAGATGGATTGGATTGGGCAACACTGAGAAGACCATTTGGAGACATCAGGCGTCAAGGCCATGCCCTCGAGTGGAAGCCGAATGGGAAACGACGAGTTCGGCGTCGGTACCGAGGGTGACATGGAGGCGATCATGTGAGGAAGAAATAAAAGCTTGTGGGTAATCGTGGTGTCAGGTTCAAAAGACTGCAGAGGACAGAGTGGAATGGAGACGTGCTACTGAAGCCCTATGCTCCACTAGGAACCGGAAGGATAAATAATAATTTTAGTAGCATACAATTTCAATCAGGGGGAACATCTATGAATAAGGCATATTAATTGAAGAAATAATAAGAAGACTGTATGTTTGCTAACCGAATCAATTCATTTTAGAGTAGAAAGAAAAGGAATCGACAGCTTTGTGCACATTTGTACGGTAGACAATGAGTCAGGCAGATGATACCACCGGTTGACTAAACCTTGGTAAGTGAAGTATGATTCCATACCATGACCCAATATACTTGGAAGTCATCATCTCATTGAACTCATAATGAGTAACAGCTCTATATCACCTTAAAGTATAATTAAGGAGTGAGAAGAACGGAGGCGTAATGGTCATTTCTTACAGAACAACAGAAGGAAAAGATAAATATGTGACCTTTATAAGCATTATAGAAGCCAGTGTCTTGTAGACATGAACACTTCGAAAGATTTTTATAAAGTTAGTCAAATCCACAGTAATAAATACAATTCATGTTAAGCTTACTCCCAAAGACCAGTTCAGTGGTTAGTTCCTCACCAAACAACATCACTCAGAATTCGGGATTATTCACTTCTAAGGTACTGTCAACAGTTATACTTAAAAGTAAGAAGATTAGTCTTCAACGCAGCATTAATAATATACATCGATCACATGTGTTTAACACAATGATATTAACGACTTGAAACACTCAAATTTAATCCTATTGCTTACCTACGGCGGGTTTTGATCCACTTGTAGAAGGTTTCCGATCAATTGGGGAGTTATAATGATGATTTGGTGTAATTTTCATACCTGAAAAAAAGAACGAAGAGGGTGGGGGTAATGAAGTTATCTAAAATTAACAAACTTGTAATGACCCTTTAATGAAATAGGCATATTTATATATGATGATCGTTCGTTATTTGATAATTGAAGTTACTTTATAAAGATAAATTTGATTTGAGATGAATGCAGATTTTTAATTTAAAAGTAGTATCCATCATGGACTGACATCAGTTGGGGAACCACTGAAAATCTGGGAGGACTGGAAAGCTGTTTCGTCCTAATATGGGACTCTTTGGCAGTACGCACCCCCGACCCATATCATAAACTGATGTCAGTCCATGATGAATACTACTTCTAAGTTTAAAAAAATCCCCATTCATCTAAAAAAAAATACATTACTGTATAGTGCGCTCATTAGTGACTTGCTTCCAGATGGATATCACGAAGCTCTAATGAGAAGCCGTGACCTGTGGGGTCAACCAGTCGGAAGTGAAGTGGATGCTAAATGAAGACCTTGGGTGATAGTCGCGCTATGGAAGCCGATCCAGTGGCTGAATGGCTTACGCGTTCGCCGTGAGACCTGAAGGTCTTGAATTCGATCCCTAGCCGGTTCGTGGGTGTGTACTGCTGAGGAGCCACACACTAGGACGAAACAGCTATCCAGTCCTCCCAGATTTTCAATGGTTCCCCAACTGATGTCAGTCCATGATTAATACTACTTCTAAATTAAAAATCCCCATTCATCTCAAAAATAAGATAGGATTTATGCCTGAAGTAGATCAATATTCAGTAAATTATTGCGCAACTATCTTCAAATTCTAACCATAAGTACTTACATAATCCAAACGAATGATGAATATAATTGATCTTTACACAACTTAATTTTAATAAGGATTAACAACAACCAACTATGCCAAGGTGTATATGACACACTTTCGGGATTTCACATTACCCTAAAGAGTGGGTTAGAGAAACCTGTAGATCAGTTCAAGTGTTTTCTAACTAATAACGTCATTCAGCAATCTCTCTCATTAGTTTATAACAATATTGCGTTAGAGACAATAATACTTAGAAATCCTGTTGACTCTATAGTCTGAGTGTGAAAAATATCAATGTTAGCCGGATCAAGACAATTAGCAGGAAGCTCTGGACCTAGTTTTCCAGCTTTTTGACACTCATCAGCCACGTGTATGTGCAGCCTCTACGGAACTGATGTCTTGTATGGGATTCGAACCCACGTCAGCCACTACTGTAGCCAGAGACGTGGATTGTAAACAACCTAAAATCTGACCATTCATATCATGGTAATACCAGCCGTCTCACATCACGAGGCCGAATTCAATAATTCACCCCGTATATCAGATGGATTTGTCCCGGTACACCACTGATGAGTTCACCTCTAAACAAGTGAAATGCCTACCTGTCCAGTGAACGGCTCCCTAATCATCATTATTCATAATTACGTTTACCATTTCCACCATATTTTATCATTCGAATACTTATCGTTTCTTTTTCCCAAGATCATTTGTTGCGGTTTAATGGTGAATAACTATCTGAAACGATGCTATACAGTACTGAGAAATACAAAACAAAACATAGTGTAGTGGATGCAACTGATAAGAATGGATATAAGTAGTATATGTTGAGATGTCCGCAGAAATCCTCATTTACAGGAGGCCATTCTTGACGTCGCTTACATGCTGGTCGATAATTAGCAACACACTGTATCTGTAAACCTTAGGAAACTAATACACCCCAGAGATCCTAACATGTGTCATCTAGCGCTGCAATCAGAGATGTTGGCAGTGTATTTTTGAGATGAATGGGGATTTTCAGATCTTCAATGGTTCCCCCAACTGATGTCAGTCTAATTACGTGTTAGATTAGGATTTATTAGTGCATACCTACTCTTTAGATGGAATCCCTAGAGTTCACAGAGATCAGCACCTTCCACATACTGACTCTTCATATGAAGACAGTTTAAATAAGATGAGACCCAATATGATCCTCACTAGAACATCAGTATTACACCTTAAGATAAGTATTACTATTTACTGACATACTTGTTATTCTCCATTGTTTTGTTAGATCGAATTGTTTGACCTCTATTGGCATATGGGCTCCTCTATGTGGATGCCTCGATATTGCCTGAATGTTAATTATAATAATTTGGTTGGTTGTGGCTAGGGGTGCAGGTACATCCAACTGATGAGTCCCAAATAGAACGAAACACACGTCCTGAATTCCACTTGCTAGCCACAACCAACCAAATTAAGACAAGTAGTATATGCACATGGATTTAAAAAATAAAGACATTTTTGACTTGTTTTTCTACTATGTACATAGACACATACGCAAATATTATGAAAAGTGACATCATTGATAAGACATTCTTAGTTGGCCAAGTGATAGAAGGATTCAATTATTATTTCACTTCGACTAGGATACCCCTTTGTTAATATTGTCAACTCTTATCCACTCCATATCAAATTCATTGTCTACCATATAAAAATATTCATAGTTGTAGAGATAGTTCGATGTGAAGTAAACATTAGACAGTATGAAAGTACTTAACCTACAGTGATCTATTTACTTTCCTTAATACACTCGTGTTAGAGATTACAAGTTACGACTTGACTACCAAAGTGGCATTGTCACTGGCTATGTCAGTAAATATCAATCATTTAGGCAATATACCAGTTTCTTCAAGTCTGAAAGTAGGAGTTCATATATATATGTTTCTAACCATCTAAAAGGGACTTGATAAATGAAGTCACTGAGCATATAGTAAATTTAAGCGACAGAATTCCGTCGAGAATAGACAGCATGATGTTGAATGTAACTCAGTGCTGGTTTACATTGTTTATTTTACCTGTATTTTTACAAGACTTAGACATACAATGCCAACTATGTCCTGTAGAGAAATATTTACAGACAAGTATGTAGAAAATATTAGTTATTATGACGCAGTATATACCAATATTTGCTTGAATCGTTATTTTTCGAAGACTAACCTTTGTGCTGAGTTTCTTGATGTCTTCTGAAAGTGCTCCCGGATAAGAAGAAGTGACCACATTGTTCACATTTAACCATTCTCTCTATAAAAAAAAATCGAAAGAGAAAAAACAAAATATAGGCATGAAGATTAGATCAGTCAGCATCAATGTGACACCGGGGATTACCGCGTAACGGCGGTCCAAATCGCCCCACCTAACATATCCGTATACCGAGATAGTAGACATAAAGATGGAAGGTAGAGAAATAAAGCAACCAAGAGTAGTAAAATAACAAACAAGAAGGAATGAAACAGTAATGGATTAACGAAAGATACAAACTATATTTCAAGCCTTACCCCCGAGATCCTCCTCCCCCCTATGTTCATCATTGAAAAGGAGTAAAAACAGAAGTGTAAGTGGAACTTGATTACTTCATTATATGAAGGAACCATAGCTGGTTCTTTTTTACAGCGTAAAACACCACACCTCTGAACAGCACAGATAAATGGGATGAATAGAAACATGACTTTGAGAAGAATTAACATTAGGTTAGTGAGGAAGAGAGTTTCTGAATACACATGGTCGAATGATACCGGTTGGCGAAGGCTCCCTTAATTCTTATTATCTCAAGAAGGTGGTAATTTGTAAGGTGGTAACACTAAAAGTAATTGTTGTAGTATGGATATATACCTGTAGCATGATGCGATGAGTGATACTGTTGGAGGTGGTGCACTTTAATAGAAATGGGGTTCCTTCATGCTATCTCCAGTGTATAGCACATCTACTGCTAGTGTAAGTGGAACTTGATTACTTCATTATATGAAGGAACCATAGCTGGTTCTTTTTTACAGCGTAAAACACCACACCTCTGAACAGCACAGATAAATGGGATGAATAGAAACATGACTTTGAGAAGAATTAACATTAGGTTAGTGAGGAAGAGAGTTTCTGAATACACATGGTCGAATGATACCGGTTGGCGAAGGCTCCCTTAATTCTTATTATCTCAAGAAGGTGGTAATTTGTAAGGTGGTAACACTAAAAGTAATTGTTGTAGTATGGATATATACCTGTAGCATGATGCGATGAGTGATACTGTTGGAGGTGGTGCACTTTAATAGAAATGGGGTTCCTTCATGCTATCTCCAGTGTATAGCACATCTACTGCTGGCTGAGTTTTATCATTGCTTTATCCCTTCTACATCTCTTTTTACCACTTTCTACTCCTTCTGATTGCTGTTTCGCTTATTTCTCTATCCTTCACCTTGATGCCTTCTACCTCGATATACTGAGGTGAGGTGTAGCAGACTGAAGCGTTATGCAGTTACAATTGACCGGCTTAATTGTAACTAACTATTGAGCTTCAAGTAAAAATCATATGAGTCATATATTACTCTGAGATGACTTTTCGTGATAATAAACATGGTAATCTATATGACAGTGTTAACAAAGATTATAGATAATTAGCTATTTGGAAAATACTACCACCCCCAAAAGTTTCACCCGAAAATTTCAGGAAATTAATTTTAAATCGCTTCGCTCAGGGGAACTTAGACTTCCATACTCCACGCCAGTAAGCAAAGAACAAGTTTTTAAAAATGTGTATGAGTAGAAAAAGAACTTGAAAATCAAGGCTGGTGACAACGTTCTTGTGACCGACTTTCAACCATGTTACCAAGGTTCCCCAACTATTGATTTCTATCATCTTGAGGACTCCAGTTAGACGGTTTACACACCCTTACATGGCTCAGACCAACAATCAAAGACTTCATAAACTGGTTCGACGACTAGAATGTCACACTGAGTTGGTGAACGTTTACAACCTCATCAACAGACAGGCTCCTTGCCTAGTATCCTTCGCCTAATCTCGATATTCTACACATACAGTGATTCCATCATACGTGAGCAATGTTGCGGAGACAACAGCGATCAGAAATGTGTAATCTGTTCACATCTACCTTCAGTGATCGTCTCTCATAGCCATCTAATAGGACAGAGTGGACCGCAGAGCAATGCACTCGCCGTTTAACAGGTAATTGAATATATCGTCGACACCAGAGATGACGTAGGTTAGCAAATGCCAAACGAACTTTTTCCTTGGAGCTCATTACAAGATAGACTTCGATAAAAATACTGTTTACTTGGACTTTTGTTGCTAACCAGCCAGACCTAGAGAGAATATTCTTATCTATTTAACACTACAGTTCTAAGAGTATTCGTAAGAATTAGGTAGGAAGGGATAACGATACGGTGGTGATTTCAACACATATATATCAAGTTTATAGTTTTCATTGGAAAATGGTGAAACGGCTGTGCAACATTTTTCAACCTACTTGTGATGAAATAAGTCAGAAAGTGGTTAAAAGGTATCAGCCAGTAGTAGAAAGCATCAAGAGGAAAGTAAAATCAAGTTTATAACCTTGGTATATGTACAGTATTATGCTTATCTGGAAAGTGTACTACACTACCACCTTTGGAGAGTCCTTCAAAGGTGGTTAAAAATAAAACAGTTGTAGAAGTAAAACACCTCAGTTGTTTCCACAATTTTCAAATACAAGCAGCACAAAATTAGTTGCGTGCAGACCCTATTTCAAAAGAGCGAGAATACACTGAAGTACAACAACAAAGAAAATTACCTGATATCTAACTTAAAGAACAGCGGCTACCCACAAGACTTTATCAGAAGATGCCGTACAACATCGGCCTACAAAGTCATCAACAGAAATCAACAAACGCATCGTCCTACCATATATATAAAGAATATATCAGAAATCACGACAAGATTACTGAAACCACTTGGAATTGGTGTGGCTCATAAACTAACAAATTACATCCAGACGAAAAGATGCAACAACCAAAGAAAACAGACCGAATATCATTTACAAAGTCAGCTGTAATAACTGTAGTCAACACTACATTGGACAAAGTGGTCACCCTCTTCGCCTTCGTCTACACTAACACCCATTGGCCATTAAACGTCACAACATTTCGTCACTCATTTCAATGCATGTGGATAATTATGGACATGAATTCAGCTTCGATAATGTAGAAATCTTGGATGGAGAGAGGAAACATAAAGAATATCAGAGAATTCATAGAAGCTTGGCATTCAGGTCAGTCAGTCAGCCAGCAATCAACAGATCTATAGACATAGACCCAATCTATCAACCAATGAGAAAAATGATAAACGACAGAAAGGTCAGAGGTGAAGTAGAGGAACCGCTAAGAGGAAAATCTATACAGTCAGTCGATGACACAACGATCAAAGGAAACAACCAATCACAAACCAGTTCGTCAGGACAAGCTGCTAAATCACTGACGGAGAGATATTGACAGGTTACTTCATACCGAAGTTAGTGTTGATGATGTCGTGTAGAAAGACGATGAAAGCTCTATGATTAAACAACCCAGGTGACAGAACACAATACAACCAGGATCTCTTATGTGAATCATTCTTCCCCAGGTCCAAAGAAACTGAACCAACTAAAAAGTAATGGAAATATCCAACTATACATTGTCAAACTATAAATGCACAAAACTGAATATGATAATCTAACTTGTAAATAAGCTCATACTCTCAAACATGAAAGTATGAGTCTACATTTTGATAAGAATAACGAAAATGACTACAGATATATATATATATATATATATATATATATATATATATATATATATATAATGGGTCTTTAAAATAGAAAACTTACTGCCATGAACTTGCTGTACATGAGCGTGAAGATAGACTCGTAATGCGAATGTCCTAGAGCATACATCACATTGAAATGATTGTACTAAAAAAGGAAAAAGAAGAGAGAAGAATTTCAATCCACATATAATTTTTCATCACCTATGCCTATCATCTGGTTGTTGAGCGGCTTTCTAGGGTGTACATGGGTAGAATGGACAGATATTCTCAGGTGTTTATTACGGGATGTAGCGTTCTTTGAGCAAATTTGCGTACGATGTATTTCTATAGTTTCTAAAACAGCCCTCTGTTATGGAATCATGCTTTATGTCGTTTATTCATGTGCAAGGTATTGGTTGAACTTCCACCTCTTAGATGGTATGTAACCACCATTTATTTATGAAGAATGATGCTCACAAATCAAACTAAGTTAACTGAGTCTTCATATTGCAGCAAAAAAAAGGATTTTCACTTCAAAAATATGCTTACAAAACACAGAAAATACATATTTTCATACAGAACACCTAGGGATAACTTTTAGCCTCACCCAATATTCTCACTAGACGACATGAAGAAAATACGGCTTATTGTCAGCTGAAATAGGAAACCGCACCCTCCGAACCCCCCCCCCCCCACGAGTGATCGACATTACTACTCACTTTCTTCAGAGAGAAGGAGAGAGAGGAGAGAGAGATTGTCTCATATGATCAAACGAAGTGAACTCATTAACCGCATACACTTTTGTGCAGTAGACAATGCGTCACCCCTATTGGGTAAAAGGGAGATAATGACACTATCTGATAGCCTAAATGAACCTCGATAGGTGGAGTGGAATAGAGTTCCAACTTATGATTCGAATGATTCAAAAAATGAGACACAACTTCACATGGCCTCACAACCTTATACTCAACACGATCAAATAATCAATACAGAGTTACAAGCATAAAATTTAATTGGTTCCTTTATGTTTCCTTTTTGCAAGTTCTAGCTAGGCGCTAAATTTAAGGAAGTAAGTTTTTCAAACTGATTACTCCATGGTTGATATAAACGGATTTTTGTCTTATCTTTTCAACTCAAAGTAAATAGTATCGACAATAGTCTGAGAAGTCTTTCTATAACCTCTATATTCTATTTCAATCAAACTGGTAATTACGGAACAGTAAGCTACTTTCCGATAGTAAACCGTTATGACCAGTTTGATTGCTTTATATTCTGTTTCCTATAATTTTTTGTTGAAGCCAGAAATTGGTATTTATTTTTATAAGAGTGAAATAACGGGATCTTACCATTGAATGTCTGTAGACCTACCTACCTGATGGATGAAACGTACACATTCACCCTATACTACTGACAAGATAGGGTTGCGTGTACACTTGTGTTTTTTATGAATGTCTCAAAAACGCAAGACAAACTGATGGTCAAAGATCCTAGAGCTTGTTGTTCACTTTGACATAAACTATCCACCTTAAAACAATCAGTGTGTGATTTGGGATGAAAGACTACGGATACTGCGTTTTACCTAGGAGTGTTAACGCTGGTTTTTGAGGGAGAACTTTATGAAGGAGTTGACGAGGAGGGTGAGTTTTGAAGAAAAAAAAATTCACGGGGTAACCAGGATGTGCATTAGTACTTCTTTCCTGGTTTTCGCATATCAAGCACCAATAAAACGGTAGATAAAGCCTATCGTTTTCGTCCAATTCTTTCAGATTTAACATTTTCTCTTCGCAACCATTAAATAGATTGACAAGCCCTTCGTCTAGTATAAAGAAAAATATTGATATATAATGAGATTATATCAACGTGGAGACAAACTCACCATCATGGACGAGATGAATATGGTACCATAAACCGGATCTAGAAGTGAAGGAACGGTCGCAGGAAGGACAGTCAAATAATTTGCCTAAAATATGGAAATATCAAAATAATATAGTTAAATTATAAAAAAAATTACTACTGCAAACATAATCTTCAATTGAAAATCTGTTAAAGTATCTCTTTCGCCATGTAAAATTGGAGAAGACTTTAAACGTAAACCAATATCTTGTATGCTATTCGACAACTGAATAAAGGTGAAAAGTGAGGGCACTACAGAATTACTGATTACCTAGATCATTTCGCTGAGTTACTGTGTTTTCAAAATATCGATTAACATGCTAGGAAAACAATGAATATGAAATATTGCGATTTTATTCCGCTATTCAGTAAGTGAACCCGGTTCTGTAGTCGATGATGGTGGGATCCTTAGATGATAAAGTCATACTTCAACTAAACCGATTGGTCAGACCCATATCGTAGTAAGAAACACATTCGATGTGTCCTACTATCTGGTTGACCATAAACGAAGGGATGCAGTGGGTTGGAACCTGCAACCTAGAGGTTTTAAGTCAATTACTAACACCCCTTAACTACACTACCATTAATATGCATCTTAGCTACTGTAAATCCTTGGTCTAATGATGATCTATCCCTTCTGTTTAAGCTAAAATCACCAGACCATATCAAACCCTAGTAAAAGTTATGATTACAGCTACTTAAACAACTCTAAAAACTTAGATTATTATTACAAGTGTCATCACCATCAAAATCAACACGGACTAAAGAATACTGCGTGACAGGTCGAAGTTGTAACACCTCACATATCAGCACATCTCTAGTAATAAGGCAATAAAATGGAAGATGAAGAAAGAAAGAAAAATCAGTCAAAAGAACCAGGAAGTAGTAAAAGAGAGAAGGGAGAAATGGATAATGATGAGATTAAGCATAGCGGTTAAGATGAAGTTAAAGTATGTATACAACTGTTCTGAGTCGTGTGATCACCTAGTTTCCAACCACTGGTTTCTCTTTGTCCCGTGGACCCTTACCGGTTAGTCTGTATCGCCCTACATGGCTCAAACGAACAGTGAAGGACTTAATGCATTGATGCCATATTTTAGTCTGGCCATCTTGAGCCTTTTTCCAGCCTGAACCTACTTCAGCCAACATTGTCCGATGAGGCAGACGGTGGTTAGGCATATGTCCCAACCAAGTGTACTTCTGGTAGACAACTTAATCCATTCATTGAAAGTCGAACGATCTCAAATACAATGTGGCTTAGATTTCTAGAAGAAAAGCCTTCAATTTCAAACTTTTGAAATGATTCGTCGCCTAGCTGATACAGCGCTTAATCAGTAAATCGGGGGTTGCTGGTTTGAATCCTGTAACGACTCAGGTTTTCTTTTTTTCTTCTTCAATCATCAATCTGTGTTGAAAAGAAGGAGAATGAAATCTAACGACATAATTTACCACTTCGGATTTCGATCTAGCAACAGTAAGAATATTTATATAATGATGGGTAGTGGCTAGCAGTGAATCCAGGATGCGATTTTATCCTATTTGGACCCATCAGCTGGATGTACCTGCCTCCCAGTGAGTGTTGTTCCCACTAAACTATACCCGTCACACAAGGAGTGGCTTGGTGGATAACGCTCTCGCGTTTGAAGCGATCGCTCCCGAGTCCGAATCCCTGTGGGAACAACATCCACTGGGAGGCAGGTACATCCAGCTGACAAGTCCCATAATAGGACGGAATGCGCATCTTGGATTCCACTACTAGCCACTACCCATCGTACAGGAGCCCATATGCCAATAGAAACCGATCAATTCGGTCCAATCAACGACGGTGTAATACAAGCAATAACACTATAAGTAAGAATATTGGTTATTCGATTTTACGGTTAATAATAATCGATAAAATCAATTATAATAATCTACTAAGGAAAGGATGCGATTGTTTGTAAACTTTTTTTTCACAACATAGGAAACTAGTCAGATAAATATAAATACTTCTGGCACTCATTAGGACAATAAAGAAAGTCGATTACTGTAATTATTAAATTGTATAGCTAAGTGAACACTAAAACATTTTCCAGACTAAGTGAGTTATGACACAGAAGGCGAGTAATACCGATCCACTTGCTGCTACATATTCATTCAGTCAATATCAATATAAGACCTGGAATTACTGTACAACACAGTCCAATTTATCACACTTTGAATGAACACATCATCAGGATACAAAATAACAAGGCGAAAATACAAATAATTTACAATCATACGATCAAGAGACGTGGAAAGCTTATTGACTGGTTACTAGTAATATCGGAAGTTGAAATAAAAGCTTCAGCTTTAAAAAGGACATAGAAATGTCATATGGCCTAAATACTTAAGCAGTAACGTTTCTGATTGCAGTACTGAAGTGACGCAGGTTCGAATCTCTCTCAAGGCTACTCTGACTGAATGATAATACCAAAGTAGAACCTCGCACAAATATGTATCGGCTGAAGTTACCACATTCCACAGCAGTATACAAAGAACTGATGGATAGAAAAAGAGTGATCTGGTCCCTCTGGGCCCTCTACCAACCTTAACCGGCTTCCTCAAGTATGTCATATAGAGGTAGGTGGAGGGTCGGTATTTGCAATACATGTGCAAGCTATCTCAATTGACTAGGGTCCACAACCTCATCGATCGAGTTTCCCACATTGCCTGGGACATTGTTCACATGGTGATTCTACCAAACACGAGCAATGCTACGAAGACATCTGGGATCGAAGCCCTTCAATCACTTTGTATCTACTACTTTTAACGGTCATGTCTCACAGTTGATTAAGAGAATAGAACGAACACCTGAGCAATACACCCGTCCTTTCACAGGTAGTTGGATATCTCAAGGCTGCAGATACGCCCTGTTGACGAATGCTAATAAGCATGAAACCGGGTTCAAGATTTCTTGCCAACCACCCCTAACCAACGAATATACTTTTAAAAATAATGAGTACACATATAATGAAGACAGTCATGTTAACTAAACATGTAGAGGAGTAGAATTTAAAAATGTATTCGAAACTATCTTAATTCTCGTAGAATCATGTTTGATTGACTTTCAAATGATGAATGGTGAGAGTCAGTTAATCATTTTCCTCCTAAGATTCGAAAAAGCAGATAGTGCCGTTAATTCAAACAATCTAGTATAAGTATTGATGGGCAGTGGCTAGCAGTAGAATCCAGGATGCGCATTTCGTCCTATTTGGGACTCGTCCCGGTGGGAATAACATCACTCACTGAGAAGCAGGTACATCCAGCTGACGAGTCCCAAATAGGACGAAATGAGCATCCTGGATTCCACTGCTAGCCACTGCCCATCATTACTAAACATAGTTAAAAGACAGGCCATATCGAGGCATCCGCATAGGAGCCCATATGCCAACAGAGGCTGATCAATTCGGTCCTATCAACGACGGTGTAATACAAGCAATAACACTAAAATCTAGTATAAGAATATATATTTGGTCGTTGGGTTTCACACATATTTGGAATTCTCTTGCTTTCTAGAACAATCTATTCAGAGCACACAACATCAACCTTGTACGAAAGAGTTGATGACCAATTACATTCATTCACGTTGCCTAAAACCAACGAATAAATGATGGACAGGAGGGTAGAACGTAATGAAATGTGATTTTAACAATCCAGACAATACCATACCGGTATCTAATTGATTGATTTACTGGAATATAGTAACTCAAAAAGCCCAACCTTAGGATCTAAACACCCTGAAAAACCACTAGATATGACGTGTAAAGGTTTAGTGAATTGGATTTCAACGTTCAGTTCAAAAAATAACTTAACAAGTTTGCTCACTCTAGATGTGTTTCACACAGTAGCAAATAAAATTACATACAAAATAGTTATCATATTAATATTGAATACAACCAAGTAATCATCTTCCTACACTCAACTTCATGCTTAGACAATGATGATTAATCAGTAGCAGATAGACTGAAAAACAAGTTATTTCATCATTAACATCATCATCAAGATCAATACAGGACCAGGCATTACTGAGTAACGGTCCGAGTTGCCACACCTCATATCACTACACCAAGTAAAAAAAGAGTGAAGTGCAAGATGAAGATAAGAAAACTCAACCAAAAGAAATATAAAGTACGAAAAGAGAGAAAGGGAGAATGAGGAAAGAAGTGGTGAGATTCGGTATAACCTCGTTAAGATGACGATAATGTGTGTATACATCTGCGCCGCTGACATCGGTTCTCAGCCATCCGATCACCTACAGTCTCCAACCACTGTTCATCATCATCATCATCATTATCAACATAGGACCAGGCATTACTGCGTAACGGTCCGAGTTGCCACACCTCATATCAGCACATCAAGTAAAAAGGTAGTGAGGTGAAGGATGAAGATAAGTGAATGCAGTCAAAAGAAATATAAAGTACGAGAAGAAAGGAAAGAGGAGTGACAAAATAGTGAGATTCGGTATAGCGTTGTTAAGATGAGGATAATGTGTGTATACATCTGCGCCACTGACTTCGGTTCTGAGCCATATCACCTAGGGTCTCCAACCACTGGTTCCTCTTGTCCCGTGGACCCCAACCACCTAGTCTGCATCGTCCTACATGGCTTAAACCAACAGTCAGAGACTTCATACATTGGTGCCATGTTTTAGTCTGGCCACCTCGGGCCTTTTTCCAGCCTGAACCCACCTCAGCCAACATTGTGTGACGAGGCAATCGGTGACTAGGCATACGTAGTACGTGTCCCAACCATCTCAGTCGATGAAGGTTCACAACCTCGTCGACTGACTTACCTCTTCTCCCCAAAACTCTACACCTAACTTCTGCATTACTCACATGGTGACACCACGGAATACGTCCTATACTACGAAGGCAACGGTGGTCAAACACCTGAAGCCTTTTTGTGTCTTCCACTTTCAATGGCCATGTTTCACAGCCATACAGTAGAACAGAGCGGACTGCTGTGCAGTACACGCGACCCTTAATAGACAAACGAATATCACGGCGGCGCCATAGGTGGCGCAAATTGGCAAAAGCCAATCGAGCCTTTTGTATCCGTGCAGAAATCTCATCGGCAACTAACCCACCGGAGTTGATCCTACTTCCCAGGTAAGTGAAGTGGTCAACACACTCAACCACTTCACTCTCTATTGTTAACCGCGGTACCGCTGAAGACCAGTCCTGGAGCAAAAATTTGCATTTGGGTGGTGAAAATCGCATCCCAAACATTCTCAAATTCCCACTCAAAGTGTTCAGAAGACTCTGCATCTTGTCAGCGTCTTCACCTAACAGGACTATGTCATCTGCATATTCTAGATCTAAGGAAAATTCACCTGTGATCCGGTCAACGTCTTTGTAATTAGGTGACGAGAGGGAAACCTCCATAAGAATATCTATGATAAAATTAAATAAGAATGGGGATAGTGGGCATCCTTGACGGACACCACTTGATGAGTATAGCTCCCTGGACAACTCACCATAGGCTCTAACATGCCCACAAGTGTTCGAGTAGAGAGCTTTCAATAAGGTGATGTACTTACTAGGCACGCCTTTCAGTGACAGACACTGCCATAAGACTTCTCGATCAACGGAGTCAAATGCCGCCTTCAGGTCGAGAAATACAGCTATTGTCGGGCGTCTGTAAGCATGCCTATGTTCCAGGACCTGGCGCAGTGTGAATATTTGGTCGATACATCCACGGCCAGGTCTAAAGCCTGCCTGGTTTTCTCGGGCTTGCTGTTCCCGAGCTCCACTCAGGCGTCGGAGAATTATAGAACTTAGGATCTTAGACACTATGTTTGTCAGGCTGATTCCTCTGTGGTTATCACAAGAGGACTTCTCGCCTTTCTTGAAGACTGGGATGATCAGTGACTTAGACCAGTCGGAGGGGATCGTATTTGATTCCCATATACTGGCTAACACTTCCGTTAGCCTGACTAAGAGAACTCTACCACCATTCTTGTATCCAACCACTGTTGGTTTCTCTTGTCCCGCCGACCCCAACCACCTAGTCTCCATTGCTTCACATGGCTCAAATCAACAGTCAGAGACTTCATACATCGATGCCATGTTTTAATCTGGCCATCTCAGGCCTTTTTCCAGCTTGGATGTACTTCGGTCGACATTGTGTGACGAGGCAATCGGTGACTAGGCATACGTAGTACGTGTCCCAACCATCTCAGTCGATGAAGGTTTGCAACCTCGTCAACCGACTTACCTCTAGTCCCTAAAACTCTACTCCTGACTTCTGCGTTACTTACGTGGTGACACCACGAAATACGGACTACACTACGAGGGCAACGGTGGTCAAACACCTGAAGCCTTCTCATGTCTTCCACGTTCAATGGCCACAGCTCATTTCAGTACATTAAGTAAAAAGGCAGTGAGGTGCAAGATGAAGATGAGAAAACTCAACCAAAAGGAATATAAAGTACAAAAAGAGAAACGAAGAATGAGGAAGGAAGTGGTGAGATTCGGTATAGCATCTTTAAAATGACGATAATATGTGTATACATCTGCGTCACTGACATCGGTTCTTAGCCATGTGATCACCTAGAGTCTCTAACCACTGGTTTCTCTTGTCCCGCGGACCCCCCCCCCCAAAAAAAACAAGATATTTACCTCCATGTATACTTTTCTCATGTTTCTTTAAACTGCCCAACGAAGAAAACGTTGCCCCACAATCTTCACATTTCACTAATCTTTCTGTAAAAAAAAAGGCAATATTATGAAAATGAAAATGAAAATTACAATCCGCATGGTGATGTGTCAAAGGGGGGTATCTCAAACAAATACAGTTTCTACAAGTTACAGCCAAGAAACCATTTACAACTTGATCTTACTATCACAGTCAAAAAAGTGGTAATAAGTATTGAGAGGTCTAGTTTACAATAATTGGATTACTATTACCTTTAATATTTTCCAGCTCGCTGTTGCTTAGTGTAACGATTCGAGTACTCAAAGTAGCATCCTTGATCTCCTTAAAAAAACAAAGCTCCAAACTACATATTCGGTTGTCTAGTGTCAACACTCTACGTCAAATTGACAAACAAACTTCACCAATCAGAACTTTGGCATCTCGGATCATGGATATATGCTACGTTTATTTGCTACACGCACAGGGACCCGTGAACTTATAGACAATGTCCAACGAATTTCAAATAAATACACTCAATAGTCAGTCGTATACTGTAACAGAGAAGAGGCATGTAGACATATGGGCAATGTAGACTTCTGCTAACTTCAATACGATTTGTCACAGGTGACAAGAATTTCCATTCCTTATCATATTAAATTTCCTGGTTGTTGTTCCAATATCTAGTCGATTTACAAAAGTGATCATACTAGTTATCATTGAGAGTATAGGATGAAAATTATATACTTATTTCTCTATGAGACTAATCCCATCTCGTAGTAAGTACAATAGCATATTCCTTGTAATAATTGTATACCACAAACTATTACGACGAAAATGATGAGACAATAACAGTGGAGCTATAATTCAGTGGTTTGGGGAAATGACTATCAACCATTGGGGTTTATGCGTTCAATCCCTTTCCCATCTACTGAGGTTTGGGCAGCCACGTAGTAGTATTGTAGTGGGGGTTGCTGATTAGAATGGATTTAAGTAGTATATTTAGAGGTGGCAGAAATCATAGGGATTTACCAGTAATGAAGCATATTTTGCAAATGATGGTTTTAGTGCAAGGTGTACCATATATTCAACGACTACTGTCCCACTTATTGACAATAAACATTCCTTCCTTCATACCTGTCGTTTTGCTTCTATCAGTATCACTATCCCGCACGCAACAAATGTAGCTCATTGCCTACTGTACGAATGTGAACAAGGTAAGTGAGTGCATTCCGTTCCATTCAGTACAGAACAACACTACTTGCTATTGGAAGTAGGATGAACCACAGCCATACTACAATAAGGTTTTTTATTATTTGTCCCTTGGGTTTCTAGTGGAACATACGGCTTCAGTAGCACATCTCCATTCCACTCTCTTCTCTGCAAACTTTTGAACCTGGCTCCACAACAGACCACAAGCTCTCATTTCTTCCTCACTCGATCTCCTCCATATCACCCTCAGCACCAACGCCCAACTCATCGTTTCCCATCTGGGTTATACTCGATGGCCTGGCCTGACGCGTGATGTCTTCAGTCGGCCTTCTCAGTGTATGTCCAATCCATCTCCACTTCCTGCTACTGCACATTTGTTGAGTGATAGGTTTTGGTTGGTTCGTTGCCAGGGTTCCTTGCTGCTTATTCTCATTATTCTGGCCATCTGATCTTCAGTAACGAGCCGCGTAGGCAGTTGTTGATGAATATCTGTAGTTTGTTGGAAATCCTTTCGTAACGCGCCAAGTCTCTCAACCATACAGAAGCACTGACTTGACGTTGACGTTGAAAATCCGGATCTTGTTCCATATGCTGAGTGCAGAAGATCTCCACACTAGTTTCAGGTTAATGAACACTTGTCTTGCTTTTCCGATCCTGACTTTGACGTCCTCGTCTGTGTCGCCGTCGCCTGTAGTTGAAACAGTGCTGCCTAGACACATGGAAGAGGCTACTTCCTTTAAGTTTTTCCCGTTGATGGCGATTGGAGCCTATTGTTGTTCTCGATGTTGTTGTTGGTTGGGTATCTTCATCATCTCTGTCTTCTCTACATTCACTTGAAGTCCCGTCTTAGCTGCCCTGCCTCTTCTGACAATAAGGTTTACTAACTGAAATACTTAAGAATTGAAAATTCTGTATATTCATCCTTCACAATTGTACTTTATAACAATACCATATCAGTTTATAAACCCATAGGAGTTTTACATATGCCTATTGAAGTTAAGACAAAAAATTATACCTGTGAAAATATTATTACTATTCGGTAAATCAATTTACTCACTTTCATGAATTTGTTGGACATGTGCAATAAGGTATTGTTTTAATCTGAAAGTCCTTGAACATTGATCACATGGATAATTTTGTACTGTAAATGATAAAAGAAAAGTGAATTGAAATCCAATTACTTAAAGATTGAATGATCCAATCCTATAATATGACACAGAAGTGTATACAAAAGAATAAGAATTACGAAGCAGTGCAAGTTGATTTATCTTGTACTTGCTGAGTCATCAATTCACCTTTTTCTCCTCTAGATTATAGTGGCTACCCCTAAACTCACACTGCTCTACAAGCCCCCCCCCCTGCAACAACGTATCTATCTGCCTACCTACTTACAGGCTAGACAAGAACGTATCACCACTTGTCCGTTACATTTTGGTGTCGAAGGTAGGATCCGGCTAGCTCACAGTCAGACAGACGTATACTCAACAGCAACCATCCACTCGCACCAGCTTCACACACCATACCTAGCCTCTAAATCACAAAGGTACAACTACATACTGAGGACAGCGCCTCCAAAGAAGAGGGAATAGTGTAACGCATTCGAAATTTTACTTATTCATGTTTCTGTTTCAATTTTTAGACTGCCTCACCTCTTTGCTATCAAGCTCTACCGTTTGCCCATCATCTTTTATTATTAAATGTAAGTACATCCTGTGTACTTGCTGAGTTGTCAGCTCACCTTTTTCTCTTCCGCTTTTCCCTTCCAGATTCTCGTGGCCACCACTAAACTCAACTGCTCTATGCTCCCCTGCGACCTACTTACCTACAGGCTAGACGAAAAAGTATCTCAACAACTGATCGTTACAAGTTTAACAGGTTATATAAAATGCAAATGAACATTTTTTCTGGTCAAGATGATTCAGACTTTTCCAATCTACTTTCACTATCGAAACTATGACTTCATCAAGTGGAAAGGAGGACTACACTAAATAATTGAGAATTCAATCTATTGGGCAGCTAATTACCTTGATCTGGGCACTTGTAACTAAAAGGTTGCGTACTCTTTAGCACCTTAAGATGAAGCATTTAGTACACAACTCTGTACAGGATATATACCATAATGAATCTTGAATGGAGAAACTTTAACTGAATGTCCCTCAGACTGAAGACTTGAAACAATTCTTTCTATGACTACCTACAAACTAAAGTACATGTTTGGAGGTTTGTGAGGACTTATTTATTGATTTCAGGTTGATATTTATCACCTGAGAGCAGTGAACAGCTATTCCGTCCTAGTGTGACACTGAAGGTTCTGAGTTCGACCCCCAGCGGGGTCATGGATACGAACTGCTGAAGAGTCTCATACAAGGATGAAACAGCTATCCTGTGCTCCCAAGTTTCCAACGGTTCTCCAACTGATGTCAGTCCATGAGAATACCAACCTGAAATAAATTACATGTCGTAATCTTCTACCATGCATCATACAAAACACAAAAGTATTTACCTTCGTGAACAAGTTGTACATGGTACCACAATCCTGATCTCGATGTGAAAGTTCGATCGCATGATGAACATTTGAATAATTTTCCTAGAACAGAGTAGAAAAAAAATGTTATTAGCGAGTAATACTAAATGTACAAAACAGAATTTAACTTTTGGGAAACAATCTAACTATAAATGCTGTCATTTTAACCATCATTAATGTTGAAGTGTTGATGTACTACAGTGACTACACTTATGTGTAATTGTTGCCACACCAGACAACTCTACCAAAGAACACTTGTCGCACAAGAAGGGGCTATCGTGGCTTGGTGGTATAGTGGATAACGCTCTGGTGTTTGAAGCGATCGCTCCCGAGTCCGAATCCCTGTGGGAACAACATCACTCCGCACTGGGAGGCAAGTACACCCAGCTGATGAGTCCCAAATAGGACGAAATACACATCCTGGATTCCACTGGTAGCCCTTATCCATCTTTACTATAAAAAGAACACTCTCGTTGAATTCAGTAAACTAGTGATCCTGATATCTTTGTAAGTGTTTCATACTAACTAGACTATCAGGATATAAAAAACTGATTATACAGATACGAATAAGAAACTTTGATGAGTTCGCTAATTATCCTATGATATGACAAAAGGTCAGAGTTAACATCTCTGTAAAACTTAGATTACTTATAAGGATTTACAGTCAACAACTAAACGTAGTTCACGCAAGGAAACCAACATCAACGGGATATATACAGGAATGTATGATAAAGCTATAGGCTCACTGATCTATGCACTTGACTTTCAATCAGTGAGTCATGAAATCAAATTTCGCTCAACCTATAGATATCAAGTAGTCAAGTAGTATCACTAGTACTTAGAAAATATGCGTGACTGGCTGTATGTACACTGTGTGCACGCGTGTATACAAGTGCACCTCCCAAGTATATTTACGCCCATATGTTAAGGAATAATGCATAATAATAATAACAATAATAATAATGTGTGCTGTCCTACAATCCAACAGTCGACGGCAGTTGATCATCGATGGCTTTCGTGAAATCCCTCGTTCCTATTGGAACTACTAAAAGAGTTATCTTAGAACCAAGTATAGTGTTTATAAAAAGTTGATTTTCCATACAGTTGTGATTGTTCTACAAAGTTAGATAGTGGTATGGTGTATATAATGAATCACTAATCAAAAATATACATAACAAGGAGTTATGATTTATTGTTTAGGAAAATAATTACCAACCATTGGGTCACTGGTTTGAGCTCTGTTCCACCTATCGGGGTTAGGGCAACCATGCATGAGTGATTGGCTGAGTGTATTACATACATTTTAAACAAACAATAAGATCCTACGGTAGTTAGACTACCAAATGATATTAATCTATGAGGATACAAATAATTCATTTGGATTGTCATCAGAATCGTTGTTTACAGTTGATATCCTGAGGATAGAGAAAGCAAAGGTCTAGAAATCATCAATGGAATAAGCTAAGAACCAATTGTAATTATAAAGATGTATCTACTATTAATCTACTTACAGTTGTTTTAAATAAATCATATTCATCTTTCGATAAATATATTTTTAAAACTCTATATATGCTCTAACCATTTCTCTTATTATCCTATTGTTAAGAGGTATCCAAATTTCAAACTGTTATACTTTTACATTAGGTTCTATATTGTACTTCAGTGAAGAAGAGTCTAGCATTAGCAAAACAAAAAGTTGTATTCAGATGTTCATGTAATGATCTAGTATAAACCAATGGAATAAATGTTAGCAACAATATATAATTCTAAATCTATTCAATGTTCAGTGTCAACTAAGTGTACAATTATAAAGCTCTTTATTGTTCTAACCTGTCATCTTATTCAACCAATATACAACTCACCTTTTTATCATATACTTTATAAAAGTAGTATTCATCATGGACTGACATCAGTTGGGGAACCGTTGAAAACCCGGGAGCACTGGACAGCTGTTTCGTCCTAGTATGGGACTCCACAGCAGTACGCACCCACCACCCGGCTAGAGATCGAATTCAGGACCTTCAGGTCTCACGGCGAACGCGTAAGCTATTCAGCCACTGGGTCGGTTTCCGGTGGTTCACAATTTCCAACTTCTGTCAATTCACGACATAGCGCGACTATCACCCAAGGTCTTCACTTAGCATTCACTTCACTTCCGACTGGTTGACCCCACAGGTCACGGCTTCCGTGACAGTCGCGCTACATCGTGAATTGACAGAAGTTGGAAATTGTGAACCACTGAAAACCGACTCAGTGGCTGAATGGTCAACGCGTTCACCGTGAAACTGAAGGTCCTAAGTTCCATCCCTAGCCGGGTAGTGGGTGCGTACTGCTGAGGAGTCCCACACTAGGACGAAACAGCTGTCCAGTGCTCCCAGATTTTCAATGGTTCCCCAACTGACGTCAGTCCATGATGAATACTACTTCTAAATTAAAAAAATCCCCATTCATCTCAAAAATATATACTTTATAATCCAAAAAAATGTTGAAACCATGAAATCCTACTTACCATAATCTTTACCAAATTTGCGTTCACTTGAAAATGTATGTTGCGAATAATTCCCTTGAGGTTGACTATATACATATTTTATATCTAGGTGATATATTAACAAACAAATATAGATAGATAAGTGTAAGAAAACAGGTTAACTTAATGATACAGGCTTTTGCAGTATATATATATATATATATATATATATATATATATATATATATATATATATATATATATATATATATATAGTCTAATTGAAATAGGAAAACTGTTTATTTAAACTACACCATTGTCAAATCTACCAGTAATTATCATATTTTTGTTCTGTTAAGTTCTCATAAACAGACCTTACAAGTGGTTATTACTACTTTAGATAATGTAATAAGAAGATGTAGATTGTCTGAAAAATTTGATAAATTTGCGCGCTATCCATTTTGAACAGTCTTATCACACATTCACTTGTCACACAAAAACTGGAAGTGAGGGTAGGATAAATATGACAAAGAGGAACTTGACAATAAGAAAGATAATAAAGACTTGAAGACAACCTTGGTATTACGATAACCGAAGAAGGTGCAGCATGCATAAGGAAGAACTGTTGACGATGGAGGGGGGCGGGGGGGGCAATTCCCTTGGGTTCCTAGTGTAACATAGGGCTTCAGCAACACACCTCCATTGCATTCCGTTCTCTGTAGTCTTTCCAACCCCGATCCACGACTGCCCACAAGCTTTCATTTCTTCCTCACATCATTTCCTCGATGTCACACACCCTCCAACGCCAGACTCGTCCTTTCCCTTTGGAATCCACTCCAGTGCCTGGCGCGTGATATACCTAATCGGCCTTCTCGGTGTATGACCAACCCATCACCACTTCCTTCTGCATATTTGTTGGGTGACAGGTTCTTGGTTGGTTCGTTCCCAGAGTTCTTTGTTGCTTATTCTCTCTGGTAAATATGATCTTTATTATCGCGCGAGCGTAGCCGGCAGCTGTTGATGAATGTCTGTAGTTTGCAGGAAATGCTTTTCGAGACACGCCAAGTTTATGAACGATAAGGCAGCACCGACCTGACATCGGTGATGAAAATCCGGATGCTGTTCAGGCTTTATGGTGAGTGCAGTAGATCTTCACACTCATTTCAGATTGGTGAAAGCCTGTCTTGCTTTTCCGATCTTGGCTGCTTCAACATCTTCGTCCGTGCCGCCGCCGCCACCTGTAGTTCAAACGGTGTTGCCTTGCCTGGGTAGGTGAAAGACACCACTTCCTTTAGGTTCTTCTAGTTCATGGTGATTGGTGCCTGTCGTTGATCTTGTTGTTGGTTGGGCATCTTCATCCCCACTGTCTTCTCTACGTTCACCTGAAGGAAGTCTCGTCTCCCTTCGCTCTCCTGCCTCTCCCGTCAACTTGGTAGTTTTCGCCTGTAGATCCGCGAGTCTGTGCAACGATGGGGGGAAATCTACCAAAAATGACTACAAAAGCAGCTGAATTCACAAACATTGAAAAGCGTAAATCGTAGACAACCAACATTATTCATTACAAAAACATATTACTGATAAAGGTCACAAAATTCATATTAAAACACCCTGTACAATTTCGTACAGGAATTGTCAGGGGTGTATACTCACGTTTGTTGAAGCGCTAGCCATATATAAATTAAAGCCCTCGGTGTGAGGGTTTGCGCTTAACCTAACCTGTTAATGTGTACCTCATAGTATTACCAAGGTTGTCTTCAAACCTCATCGTTCTCCTTTCATCATCTTTCTGATTATTCAATTCCTTCCTATCATATTTGTCCTTTCCTCACCTCTAAGGTGTGTGTCTGTGTGTATGTGTATGTGTGTGTGTGTGATTAGATTGTTCGAAATGTATAGCGAGCAAATACATCACATTTTTCAGATAACCTACATCTTCTAATTACGTTGTCCAGATCCATAAAAGTGACTAATAGTTTCATATAATTACATCCATAAACCCCAACATCCGGTTAGTGAGAAATCCTAGGATTGGTATACTGAAGTAAAAATCGATATCCTTAGAGCCTACTAAACAAAATAACATTAGATAGATTACAGTTCTAACAGAACTGAAGTCAACCAACTTCATTCTGATTACATTTAGCACACAAATAGAACTTGTGACGGTACTTTTGGTAGTCATTAAATCTCATACATTTTGAATAGGAAATGGTATACTAATAGCGAATGCAATGTATGCACTTAGCTACTGCAGTATATATAGCTCAGTAGATTGGTAAGGCATTACCATTCTGATAATATCCCAATTCAAATGCCTCGTTTACTTCTACTGTAAATAACATTTAATAATACCACGATTCCTTAGAACTAAGTGTATTAGAGTACTCCCTTATGGTGAATCATTTCTCCCCATCAACTTAATAGTTCCACATGTATTTAGTTCACTACAATGAGATACTCTGATTATCATAGAAAACTGATCTGGTAAGTAATTTTGCTGCAACAGCTACACATGAAATATTTCACTACAAATTTACGAGACCTTCAATATACTGTAAGCACTATTGAACAAAAAACTCGGAGACTAGAAGAAAACTTTTACAAGCATTTTTCTTGGTGTCCTTCACCTCACAAACCTATGCTCACAATCTCGAGACGATATTTTCGATAACATTTTCAACAGCTGATTCTGAATGTAAGTAATCTAGGTGAGATCAACCAGACTCTACAAAACCAGCGACATATCGCCAACGAAACAGTAAAATATCAAGGTTTAGAGCTAAAATTATGCTACTCAAATGAATTTCCATTATCATAAGTTACTTTTTAAGATGTCAAATTAAACTCACGAGGGTACAGAACCAATCCATGGAATCTTTCATTACTGGTCTACGTCCTACAGCCTCTCTCCTTGCTCTATGAGACAACTAACTGTGTTACACGTTGAAAGCAACTGCAGTTTCACAAAATCATTCACACATCTACACTTTATCCTTTCCCCATGTCTTTCCTCATTCCTTATGCATGACCTATCATCTTCTCCTGGAAGAAATTTCATTAAATATGCTGGTGATCTAACAGTTTCCATACCTATCTCCTCTTCAGCAGATTGTTCTCAACTGAATGATTTACTATCTACTGCTAGACGATAGTCCTCCGAGGATGGTCGCATGCTAAATTCTTCAAAATGTCAGATTGTAAACTTTAGTTTCACATGTGAACATAACTTATGTAAACTGCTTAGTTCTCACGATTCCTGTTGTATTGGCATTGCACATTGGAGAATGTTACAGGTGTGATTTATCTCGGTGCATGCCTTTCTTCACACCATTCCCGCCCCTCCCATACCTTACTAATTTCCAAAAGAATTCTTCGCCTAACTTTCTGTATTAGGAAGCTGAGAAAATTTGGTATCACTCAGCCTCTTCTCTTATGTTTTATAAATTCTTGCATCCTGCCTGTCCTTCTCTATTGATCCCCTTTACTTATTTCCTGCATTGCTGAAAAAATACTATGCTATATTGCATGGAGCTTCGAAGATTGTCAGTAGAACAACTAGTGGTGTACCCCTTAACCTTCTAGTTAAAACTGTTGTGGACAACGCACATGTTAACTCATATAAATATTGTCCAGGAGTTATTTTATCAGATGGCCAACATCCTCTTCATTAAAAGCTCTCTGCATGTCGGTCATTGGAAAGACGAGGAGGAAGTGTATCAGATTTGATCCATGTACTACAATATATAAAAAATCTACAATACCGTATTTACCTCGTCTGCTGTATGATGAAGAGAGTATCAGAAATGAACTAACCAATCAAATTCCGTTTTTGGAAGCAAACTAATTCAAGATGAACGTGTTACTTCTCACGTATTATGAATCTGATTGCCAATGTGATTGTACACCTAAACTGACTGTGCATTTTGAGGAAGGTTGTAGATACAGTGAATATTCTCATCTTTTCTTCATGTAATTTCTACTTATTTTCATTTTGCTATGTATACACATACACTGTCTCTATCTAACTGGGGTCGTATGACGGCATGCTGAAAATTCTGCAGAGTATTCTCGAAATAGCTTTTAGAATAAATCCATTGCTACCCACTATTATTATATTCATCTAAATCTTGAAAACTTCATTATTACACAACCTTTTCTTATTTTTTTCCAAAGCTTTTTAATACCACTTGGTGTAGATTTTCTTCATTTTTTTGTCTTTCATCTTTCTGACTTCCTTTCCATGTGTTGATATAGACAAACTTTGATAAACGCACAATTACGCTTAGCGCTAACTTGTTGTTGTACCAAAAACAATTAAATTGGCTAATAATGGAATTAATATCTTAAGCATAATTTCAGCATGTATTCCCATAGATCACAGGTCAAATCTAGATAACCATGATGGATATGTAGTTGTCGTGGAGGTAGATGAAGATTTAGACGTCCAATTAGAACACCAACGCGTAGATAAACTAGGTAGTTTTTAGAAATTTTCATTTTCTCATAAGATAATGAAAAACAATTGTCTCCAAGAACTCAAGAAAACCCACATACAATTGTGTAAACAAGTGTCCACAGGAACATTAGCATTTTCAAACCATACTAAAGAATGCTAGGTTCCTTTTGAGCTTTTTTGAACAGACAAGCCATCATTCTCAAACCGACACAAAATCAACGCAGAACCTGGCACATAAGTGCATCGGTTCAGGTGGCCACATTTCATAGTAGCATGGAAAGAACAAGGGGATGGAAAAAAACATCAAAATAGACGAAGGTGTATGGGAGGAGAACGAATTTGAAAATGAAGATTAGTGAAAACACTCAAGCTCTGTAATACGTCAGAGATTCAATATATTTGTACACCACTGTGAATAATTTTTAATCATGTCGTCAAGGGCCTTCAATCAGTGATTTCTATCATCTCGAGGACCCCAACAAGGTAGTTTAAACCTTTCACATGGCTAGGACCAACAGTTAGAGGCTTCTTGAATTGGTACCACATCTTTGTATGAGCACCCTGAGCCTTTTTTAAACCTAATCCAACCTATCCTAGCATTGTACATAGAAATAGGCAATGGCTTGGCATAACGTAACATATGTCCAAGTTACCTCAGTCGTTATAGGCTTACAACCTTATCAACCAATCATTTGCAAAGAATAGTTTGTACAACTAAATTTAGACGCTGTGCGGATGCGGGTTTTCAAATTGGAAATGTGAGGGAAGCAAGTTTTTTCTAGTTACAGAAGTGTTATTAGCGACCGGGTAGAAAAAAGTCGAGATGCACTCAGCAACTTTGTGAACACTAGTGAAGGAGGTAATGAGCCACACCTGTTATGTGAAGGCTTTTCAAACCTCAGTAGTTGCAACAGGATTCGAATCGACGACTTACTGGTGGAAAGTCGATACCCTAATCCAGTGAGCCACAGCTCTGATTATTAACTATTAACCTGGATAGCTGATTAAAATTGGCAATTAATGTATTTTACTGTATTACTCATGCTGAGACTGTATATTTACAATTGGTTTCGAGTACATGGCTGGTTGTGACATTGTGTATGCAGATATAAAACTGATTTGGGGACAGTGTCAGAGCAACACAAGCCATCAGAACCTACCTTTGATAGTATCGCTACGTACACTTGGCTGTAGCATAGGATAAGCGATAAAGTGAGATTTTGTCTTTCTGAGATGGAGATATTTGAAGATCGTTTTCTTCATCCCTTCTAAACAATAGATTTCATTTGCTACTACTGTTAATTATAGTAGAGTCTCATTTCAAGGATAAGACGAAGATAGAAGCTGTTCATCAATAGGTGCCGTTATCCTAGGGAACTAACTCCATTGACTTGAAAACTTTCTATACATTTACTTTCAATCTTTCCACAGATCTTTTTCATAGCTTATATAACTATGTAAGAAAAATCAGAGATTATCAGTTTCAAGATAGGGTCGAGAAGCGAAACATTGAGAAAATTCAGTCTTTCTGTGCGACTCTAATCAGTGTTGAATATGGCTACGAATCTAAATCAGTGGCAGTCCTACAGAAGCTTTTGTCTGTTCCAAGTATTAACAATAAACAATGACAAACGTTTCTTTGAGTGAAGTTGTAGCTGACTGTTCTGTTTTATTTTTTGATTAGTTTTGAAACCACGAAACAGTTTGTAGTTACCTCCTACATATAAAGTTTATTTTGAGTGTATAGTAGTGAAAACGATTATTTGAGTCACTTGAAGCTGACAGGCTTGATTACTCGCCGAACATTACCTTAAATTAGCATCGCTACGTAAGTGATCGGTTTAAAATCTGCCAAATCTAAAAGAAACTTAATTTTTTCTATTCACAGTGGTCCTAACTGAATGAAACCAGGCTAATAAAAAAATAATTTAAAACCAGATAAGGTGTACACCTATAGTTTGTTTATTGATTCGTAATTTTCACAAAAACCCAATATTTTCTACCCAAATGTCAAATGTCCTCGGAAAGATGATGCACGATTCAAACATTTACAGAGGATAAGAACTACATCTCATCTGAATTTTGAATCAGTTTGTGGTGGCATATATTTCACAACATATCAGTTTATTCCGAATCAAAAATTGAAATGTACTCAACAACTACGAGCGCGCTCCTGTAGTAGGCAATGACTCACGCGTGTTGTGTGCCTGGCTGATAGAAACTCGGTGGGTGGAGTGGGTTTTCAATCTGTGACTTACTGGTTGAAAGTTAAGTATCCAAAACAATGAGCTACAGCTCCAGTTTATTCAAGTTTATACACAAATCAAAGTAATTCACTCGAAACTTTACGAAGATGGTATCTTAACGAACTTCATAGGTGTTCTACACAAGCACTGACTTACCTTCTTGAAGAATACTTCTGTGGTCGTTGAAAGCGGTATGTTGTGCAAACTTTTTCTCCGGTTGGTTGTAAATTATTCTGATACCTTCAAATAGCAAAAAAATTTACAAGTGCCAGTAAACGAGTTGTTTTACAAACATGGAGAAAATAAAAGTAGTTAAACTCATATTCTTTTAAAACTCTGAAATAGAGAACTAATAACCCCCTGTGGTGTTGCTCAGGCACTTAGTATTTACAGAACTTTAACTTGGGATGATCTCCCACTCCGCGTAAACCAGTAAACGCTGCCACATTGTATATCAACACCTCAGGGTTAAAGAAACCAAGATGGAAGATAAAGAAATAAGGGAAAAAGTAACCAAAAGTAGAAAGTTATGGGGAGAGAAAAGGGAGGAATGAGACAATAGTGAAACTAGGCATGACGGTCGGCATAGCGACGTGAAGAAACATCTGAGTAACAGATCAATTCCGAGTTATATCACTTACTCTTCAAACCCTTGTTTTTATTGTAAAGCGGACCTCAACCACAGTCTAAATCTCCCTATATACCTTAGACCAACAGTCAAAGACTGCATGAACTGGCGTCATATTTTAGTCCGAACGCCTCTGACCATCCTTCAACCTAAATCTACTTCATCTAACATTTCGCGTAGAAGCAAACAGTGAATTGGCATGTGTAACATTCGTCCAAGCCATCTGAGTTGATTAAGGTTCAAAACCTACTCAACTGACTCTCTTCTACCAAAAGCTACGTAAAACTTCAACATAACTGACGTGGTGGCGCCATGATACATGTTTGTGCTACGAAGTGAAAGGTGGTCGAACACCTGAGGTGTTTTCATGTCTTCCACTTTTATTGGTCATGTTTCACAAGCATATCGTAGAACAAAATGAAATGCGACACAACAGAACAGATAATGTGGGACCCCAAAACTGCGTTAGCCACACCATTACGTAGTCGGGCACAACACAGACGTATACCCTCTATGTAATAGGGGAAAATAACGGTCCATTGCATTGTAAGTAATTCAGAAACTAAGTGGAAGATCGCGACTTGACAATGAGCAACATCTGTATGACGTCTGACAGCAATACTTGACCGCCTAGAGCTAAGAAAGGATCTCCATGGTCCACTGGTTTATGGTCGAAATTCAAGGTCTATTTCAAACTACTCTACCAACGTACACCCAATGATCCTCTATAATCCACTGTTGACTGAGAACTGCAAAAGTAGATATTCCAGCAATCATATTCCCGTACTAACCGTGTTTATAAATTGCAGAGATAAGTCAAACCCACCATTATTTAGCATGTCACAAACATACTGCTCTTAGCATAATGAAAGCAGTTTGGCTGGGTACCGAGAAAGAGACTAAGTAGTTGTTCGCATATAAGACGGCACTGGCTTGACACATACACAAGACTAGGAATACGATATGGAAAGGTGTAGCTGGTGCATTTTTCCAACGTGTGACCTACAGCTCTGATTACTCAGAACCACTTTTCCCCTTATCCCCCAAGTTGCTGATCTCAATGGTAAGGGACACTTAAACTCTCTATAGCATTGCTGCAAGTGATACTCTGAGTAACGCTAGCACACTTTTTGACATTGGTTTATTCTGTATGGATCAGAAACGAAAATTTTGGGGATATACTCACGACACTAGTTCATACCTAATTTCTAAAACCTGGACACAGTCCATTGAAAAAAACACTGGATCTCCCCTTAGTTACTTAAATAACTGATGTGAGGGCTAACCCGTCCTTAGTACAGGCTGGTAAATTTAATGAGGATTCACTTATTAGTGTGAAAGATTCTCTAAACACGCGTAAAAGTACCTTATTCGACCGAACTCATTTGAATTATGTAGCATGCATCTAGAATTTTGATGTTGTTTTCTTTACCTGGATGGTTTAATCGCGGATCTTTCGTTGTTGTTGTCTAAAACGACAGTGGAAGTTCTACGGTTAAACCATCCAGCTCAGAAAACTCCGTTGAAATCATCATCCTGAGCTAAAAATATTCCCCACTATGTACCTAGCATTGGCGCATATACGATGAAATGACTAGTGAAATGCGAATTACTACTTGGAACTATGCGAAATTAGGTTTGCACAAAATCTATAGCTCGAACTAAATTACTGCCAGAAATTCAGGCGCCTCAGTGAGCTCAACAGCATGCAATATATGAAACAAGTTTCTGAACTTAAATCACTAACCACTCAGACGCTTGGATTTACTCCAAATCCGAGCATCCAACCTAGAGAAAATCATGCAAAGTAAAAAGCATAGTAGATAGGGAACAAATAGTTTTGAGAGGTCAGCACCTATGTGCACGCTATGGCCAAATCCAAAACAAGCCACAGATTACTTAGGTATACCTTAGTAATCTGCTTATAAATAGGAGGTTTCATCTTAAAGAAAGGTAAATTCCGCCAGTTAAGATGACACAGTCTGTAACATGCCTTGTTTTCGCACTAATCAAACTAATTTGGACTTATTGATCAATCGCCTAGCGTCATTTATCATGTACTTTTTGCATATACTCACCACCTGCAGCCAGCTGGTCAAATGACGCAGTCGCAACCTTGTTGCCCAATATCATGTTCTCTATCCTCGTGTTCAAGAGACAATTCTAGGTCGAATTTGAATGGTCAATTGTTGAACGGGCAATTGAACAGGGTATATTTTCGCATGCCTAACTATTAAAACGTCACTCCTCTTGAGGCCAGCACAAAAAACTAACAAAGCTTTCAAGAAATCTCTAAAACACATCCAATTACTTTGCCTTCAACACAGTGCAAATCTATTCAATGACTTCTGTGTGTATCGACCATTCAATGTCCAATAGTTCGTTTATAAAAAAAGCAAATACAAAACTTTACTTGATATTGTACGGAAAAAATATCAAAACTGATTGTAGCTGGCTATTCTCACTTGATTTCCCATGACCTAATGGGTAGTAATGGCCTAAGCAAGCTGCTGTTTTTTATTTCACTTTCAAACTTGCACCGGATTGCTAGAGCGGTTGTTGCTTCTGAAAATGTTCTCAGCTTCAAGACCACTTGGCGTGGAAGGTCTTATTGATGGCACGTCCACATTTCTCAGGCTCAACGCGACGGAAATTTTGGAATTGTCCTGACACAACTTGACAGACACAGAGGTCAACCGTTGGTCCTTCTTGCCAGCGGAATACCTATGACCACAAGACCAAGAAGGAACATAACAAAACGGCTACGTGACAAAAAACTGGCTCGTGCTGAACAGCTGGCGGTGGAACTGTGTGAACGGAAGTAAGATGACAACGTGCCAAATGGTGAGGACTCTTTATCGTGTCCCTTGACAAAAACCCGTCTGTTGAGACTACGAAGGTAAGCATGGATGCTGAACCTCATCGACCTCTTAGCTAGTCGTTCCCAGTGGTTGATAGTTTCTTTGTTATGGCGCTATACGCACTGCAACTTATGCTGGATTACAAGCAAAAACAGCACCGGTATGAAAATCACTGGTATATTTTGATTCACTTGATTTCGAACACTTCAGTGTCCTTAGTTGAAAACGAATGGCTGAAGCCACATAAAGTTCAAGAAACCGAATCTGGAGGCCATATCGTCTGTCAGTTCCTGCAGTGGTTCGCACTCGGAATCGGGTCCTCATTCATTGCTGTTTTATGCGGCACAGAAAAAGTTCGGCCGTAGTTTTCATCCGACCGATAATTGCCGATGATTTAGTACTAAAACGTCTCCTGATTTCTGCCCATTGCCCAGCCGTTGGGCTGAGTAAATATCTTTTTCAGGATCTCTCTACTCTGTGCATGCAACCAGATTCTTTGGACAGCGGGGCAAATCTTGAAGGGACCCACGGGTGTATCTTTTGCTATTTCGCTCTTTCAGTGCTGTCGCCCATGGCTCAGACCTTTTCCACTTTTACATCAGTGACTGTCTCGTCGCCAGTGCAGAAGACAAAGATCAGTTAAACTGCCTGGACCTCGCATCCTGCAGAATGACAAAATACGACATCAGAGCACACAACCATGAAACTTTAGATCAAAACCCGCCACTTCCTTTTCTTGGGCTTGCCAACGAAAACAAATGCATATGCTCACTAGCAAGTAAACTGTCGGCCACTCTGAACTTTTCAAGGGTGATCAGTGAAAAGCAACCTCAGACATTCGGCAGCCTGAAAAGCTATTACCGAAGGTATTTGCCTAACCGTGTCTCCCCTGTGAAACCAACGACACGTGTGTTTCGTGGGAATACAAAGCGCTTAGCTCTTAGCACTGCAGCCGCACCCTACCTCAGTAGGGCCAAGGAGGTCATTGGAGAATCAATGGGATGGTTTGTCCCGATCATATTACCTCCCTGATTATTGTTGTTGATGCACCACACTCAGCAACTGGAACGGTGTTGTGGCAGCGGGTCGACAACCAGTGGCAGCTACTAGCCTCTTCCTCGAGGCGGTCATGAAAAGCAGCATCGTGATCCCTTGCTGCGTACTATTCCGTCCGATAGCTTCAACATTCGGTTGAACGTCGTGGCTTCATCATTTTCACAGACCGCAGCCTGCTTATCTTCAGTCTGCTTCTGATAAGTACCTTTCAAATGAGTTGCGACAAATAAAACCTTATTTCGCGGTTCACTTCAGTGACCCATCACATATCTGTAGGAAATAATTCTGCAGCCGACGCAGCGTCTCCAACGTTTTCGATAAACCATATAGAAGGTGTCAACCTGATCAGACTTTGTCGTCCTCAAGAAGGATATCCCGAGTTTAACGGTATTAACAACCACAGGAAAAAAACAGCTAATGTTAAGACTATGGTGGAAGAGGTCCATAGAATAGTTGAGGATTTACATCCATTGGCATATCTTCTTGGAAGGTATGAGAGCATAGTTAAGGACCATGTGGAAAAGGCAGAAAATTTAATAGACTGTTTAGCAGCGGAGGTAACGAAGAGATTATCGTCGTCTCGACGGGCCATCGTTTACGACATACCTGACACCCTACATTTGGATGTCGTTAAGATAAAGGTATTAGGCTCATATGGCATGGCAGGTGTGCACTGTGACTGTAAGCGTCTCCGCAAAAAGCCAACGCAGTCCAGTTGCCCCATGATTTTCAAGTTCACTACTTCGTTTGGCGCCAAAAAATTCGTCAAACTGCAAGACCACATAAGGCTGCATAGCAACTTTAAAAATATCGCTATCACACAAGACAAAACCGCGTGCCAACGCACAAAACGAAGAAGTAGTCCGATTGGCCCATCACCCCTGGACATAGAGGCCGCTGTGTGTATGAACATACTATCAGAAAACGTCGGCACGACCAGTGATTTTGTCGAATGTGCCTCCAACTTGGTACAACGGTCTCGATCAAATCTAGCAACAAGTGGACCTCATCCTCCATTGGTACTGTACCCTCTGAGGTGGGCATGCATTTAATAACAACAATAACAGATTTATCCTAAAAGCTATTTTGAGAATACTCTGCAGAATTTTCAGCATGCCGTCATACGACCCCAGTTAGATAGAGACAGTGTATGCGTATACATAGCAAAATGAAAATAAGTAGAAATTACATGAAGAAAAGATAAGAATATTCACTGTATCTACAACCTTCCTCAAAATGCACAGTCAGTTTAGGTGTACAATCACATTGGCAATCAGATTCATAATACGTGAGAAGTAACACGTTCATCTTGAATTAGTTTGCTTCCAAAAACGGAATTTGATTGGTTAGTTCATTTCTGATACTCTCTTCATCATACAGCAGACGAGGTAAATACGGTATTGTAGATTTTTTATATATTGTAGTACATGGATCAAATCTGATACACTTCCTCCTCGTCTTTCCAATGACCGACATGCAGAGAGCTTTTAATGAAGAGGATGTTGGCCATCTGATAAAATAACTCCTGGACAATATTTATATGAGTTAACATGTGCGTTGTCCACAACAGTTTTAACTAGAAGGTTAAGGGGTACACCACTAGTTGTTCTACTGACAATCTTCGAAGCTCCATGCAATATAGCATAGTATTTTTTCAGCAATGCAGGAAATAAGTAAAGGGGATCAATAGAGAAGGACAGGCAGGATGCAAGAATTTATAAAACATAAGAGAAGAGGCTGAGTGATACCAAATTTTCTCAGCTTCCTAATACAGAAAGTTAGGCGAAGAATTCTTTTGGAAATTAGTAAGGTATGGGAGGGGCGGGAATGGTGTGAAGAAAGGCATGCACCGAGATAAATCACACCTGTAACATTCTCCAATGTGCAATCGCCAATACAACAGGAATCGTGAGAACTAAGCAGTTTACATAAGTTATGTTCACATGTGAAACTAAAGTTTACAATCTGACATTTTGAAGAATTTAGCATGCGACCATCCTCGGAGGACTATCGTCTAGCAGTAGATAGTAAATCATTCAGTTGAGAACAATCTGCTGAAGAGGAGATAGGTATGGAAACTGTTAGATCACCAGCATATTTAATGAAATTTCTTCCAGGAGAAGATGATAGGTCATGCATAAGGAATGAGGAAAGACATGGGGAAAGGATAAAGTGTAGATGTGTGAATGATTTTGTGAAACTGCAGTTGCTTTCAACGTGTAACACAGTTAGTTGTCTCATAGAGCAAGGAGAGAGGCTGTAGGACGTAGACCAGTAATGAAAGATTCCATGGATTGGTTCTGTACCCTCGTGAGTTTAATTTGACATCTTAAAAAGTAACTTATGATAATGGAAATTCATTTGAGTAGCATAATTTTAGCTCTAAACCTTGATATTTTACTGTTTCGTTGGCGATATGTCGCTGGTTTTGTAGAGTCTGGTTGATCTCACCTAGATTACTTACATTCAGAATCAGCTGTTGAAAATGTTATCGAAAATATCGTCTCGAGATTGTGAGCATAGGTTTGTGAGGTGAAGGACACCAAGAAAAATGCTTGTAAAAGTTTTCTTCTAGTCTCCGAGTTTTTTGTTCAATAGTGCTTACAGTATATTGAAGGTCTCGTAAATTTGTAGTGAAATATTTCATGTGTAGCTGTTGCAGCAAAATTACTTACCAGATCAGTTTTCTATGATAATCAGAGTATCTCATTGTAGTGAACTAAATACATGTGGAACTATTAAGTTGATGGGGAGAAATGATTCACCATAAGGGAGTACTCTAATACACTTAGTTCTAAGGAATCGTGGTATTATTAAATGTTATTTACAGTAGAAGTAAACGAGGCATTTGAATTGGGATATTATCAGAATGGTAATGCCTTACCAATCTACTGAGCTATATATACTGCAGTAGCTAAGTGCATACATTGCATTCGCTATTAGTATACCATTTCCTATTCAAAATGTATGAGATTTAATGACTACCAAAAGTACCGTCACAAGTTCTATTTGTGTGCTAAATGTAATCAGAATGAAGTTGGTTGACTTCAGTTTTGTTAGAACTGTAATCTATCTAATGCTGTTTTGTTCAGTAAGCTCTAAGGATATCGATTTTTACTTCAGCATGCCAATCGTAGGATTTCTCACCAACCAGTTGTTGGGGTTTATGAATGTAATTATATGAAACTATTAGTCACTTTTATGGATCTGGACAAC